AAAATGAAATTTATTTTACTTTTTTATTTATGATAAGAAATCTTATTTTTTGAAATTATTTCTGTACTAGGGAAAATGTAAAAGCTTTCAGTTTTTAATCATTGTGAAATAAATTTCAATTGGTATTTGGGCAATAACTAAAGATTTTTTCCATACTTCCCTGAAGGAAGTTGAGGTTTTACGCGCTGTGAAGCAGACACTCTAGAGGCTCCTTGAAAAGATATTGTATGGTAATGTATGCATACTATAATACAGAATAACAATGATTTGTAGTTACTGAAAAGAAAATCACTTACCAAGTTAGGTTTTGCTACATTGTTGAAAGAATCCTAAGTATGATTGGAGGTTTTCATATTCTGGGTTAATTTTATTTTAACTTGTTTTCTTGGAATTTGCAATAATTTTGAAAGATAAAAGAAATTATGTTTGAGTAAAGTTATTCTAGGACAATGAAGAGCCAAAGTCTTCTCACTCTGGATTGCTGCACTGTTCTCTGGGTGTTCTGTGCTGTTGGAGAGGCTTTGAAGTTGATTAAGGCTTGGCATACACACCTCCTAACAGATTTTTTGAAGAGGTAATTTTCAGGTCAGGGTTTACTTGTGCTATTTAGTTTAATGTTTGAGGGTGATCAGTGCTATACATAGTGCAGGGCGCTCTAGAGAAAAAGTGGGATTATCTGGGAAGAGAGGGAATGGAGTGTATGTGTGGTAAAGGCAGACTTCCCCCTTCAAGCAGCTTAAAGCAACTTAAAGGCCCCTTGTCTCCACAGACTGCAATGTGCGAAAGTCAGTGTGGAGTACAATGAGGAATTTCATAAATATATGAGAATGTGTGGTAGATGTGAATATGGTGTGGCAAATCAAGAGTCTAACAATAGCTAGTAACAATAAAGATGCAATGTTACACAGAGTAATCTGCCAGTTTATATTTTTTGAAAAACATTTTAAATAATGTTCAGTCTCTATTTACTTTGAGCCTGGCATCCCTGATAAGGCAATTGTGAGGAGAAAAATTGCCTAAAACTAGCATAGTAAAAACCCCCAAAACAAGACAATGCATTGTATTAAACTTTATCAAATATAGTATGAGAGCAGTAGTGTAAGTGAAGAAAGTGACTCAAGGAGTTTTCAGAATGTCTGTTGATTAAATTGAAAATGTGATTCTTTGAAGATGAACAGATGTAGAACAGATCCCCACTTCCTGCCCTGCACCCCCCCCTTTTTTTTTTTCTTCTTTTTCATTGCTTGCCATTCTCATTTTACCACATTTGCCTTTGGGATAACAGATTTTATTAATTCTCTTTGAGTTGAACAGGTACCTTTGATGTAGCTGATTAAAGTTGATTTAAACAAAGTACTTGTATAATTTAATGGATGTGCACAAAGTAAACCAGTAGATAATGTTTTTCTTTTAAGACCAATTACAAGGAAAGAGCAACCTATTGCCTCCTTTTTTATCTGCAAAACTAGTAAAACTTAAAACTCCCAGCCAGTTTGCTGAAGTGTAGTGAACTTGCTTCAGGCATCTAAATGTGAGGTTTAGCTTGTAAAGAGAAAATAGACTTTCCTCATCTAAGATTTGTTTTAAAGAGCTACTTCTCTGTATTAACAGATGGAGCAGATGGAGTCTGAATGTTCCTGAGTTGTGAACACAAGCAAACTCTTAAATAGTTTATGCTTGAAATAATTTGCTAGCTGTGTTGCAGTATTTGAAATTATGAGAGGGGATCTTTAAAAGGCTTAAATATTTTAAGTCTATATTGAGAAAATAGATAAAGTTGCCACAGAATAGATAAGTCTAATTAACTTAAAAACTCTAGAAACTAAAATAGAAGTAAAAAACCCCAAAACATTAGCTTACTTTCGTTAATATTTGAATGCCTACCATTACTGCTTCTAAGTTGAAAAAAGTGAAGACATTTTGAAAATATAAATAAAAATTTGAAGAAAGTAAATAAAAAACCCAACCCATCTGTTGTATAGCTATGGAAAAACTAATCAAGATGTTTATTGCTATTTCAGAAGTCTTTGAACAAAACCTTGTTATGAGAAAATGGAACTTCCATTTGCTATAGCTCCTCTTATATGTCTGTGATTAGATTCATCTCTTCCTCTGCAAAAGTTTCAGACCAGCTGAGTTCCTGCTTTGGAAGATCTAAGATATTGCACTCAAGGCTCAAATAAAGATGAAAGGGTTAATAGCCATAACACACCTATATAAAACCTTTTCCAATACTGGGAATGTTATATTTGCACTTTTTTGTTACTACCCGATTTGAAGAGCTTTTCCAATATAGAATATCAGTCCTGAAAATGTAGGATTTTAAGTGCCTTGATAGCAGTTCAGAGATTCTTTACTTCAAATTCTGTAGCAGTGAATGTGCTACTGTGTTGCCCCTCCTGCCTCAAATTTCTGAAGGTGCTGTCTCATAGCAAATGAGACTAGTCAGTAAAAATCAACATTATTTCATAAGTGCACTCTTTTGGAAGAGTCGTCTCTGCCAGCTAAGCCTTAGTATTGCAGAAGGCCCCATAGTCCAGCAAATGAGATATGGACTCAGGTTTTCTGCATGAGCAGGTGTGCAAAACACTTTAGAAAATGTTTCAAGAGAATGGTGAAGGTGTGCCATAACACCTTCAGTGGTAAGTGCAGTGAATAAACGGTGTGTTATTTCTTGTTTCTAATGTGTTAAATTAAGAGAAAGATGCTAAACAGGAAGTAAAAGGTCAGTCAGATTGTTTTTCCCTCTCCTACTCTTCTTTGGACTTGGAGTGACATGTTATAGAAGAGATTGGTGCTATACAAAGTTGCTTGCTTTAGGACCAGCTAATAGAGAACAAGCATGAGTGCTCTATGTTCCTTTTTGATAGACTTGCTGTCCCAAGGTTGATGGAGCAGCTGATATAAAGAATTTTGTTAGTACTGGTTCAGTTAACTGATACCATTCTGGTATTGTAGCATACAATATAAATAATGTGAGCTATATTATGTTTCCTTTTAGTGCATCTACTTGCAAGACATAAAAAGGGTATGCATTGCCACGTGATTATTTGATTTCCTGACTGAGATATTTCTCTGATGCTACTTTTTAAAGATTAGATGCTAAATAAGTATGATGTGCTTTGCCTTTTATAAGTGCTCTCATGTGATTTAATTTGTAATTGATACATTTTGGATGTCAATAGATTTCATCTGCATTTGAACTCTTTCCATGTATTTCCAGTGAAGTAGGTATTGAATTGTATTTTTAAAAGAAATTTTAGAAAATTCTGGATTACTTTTTTCCAGAGTTTAAATACATTTAAACTAACCAAAGTGAGTGATTTGAGACTTTTGATTTTGTGATTGTGTTTTCCCTGACCTAACTTGCACTTAATGTAGAACATGTACAAGCATGTTTATCCTGTAGTGTAGCAATAGCTCTGAGCTGCCAACACCCTGTGTGTTGTTTTTATCATTTATCTGATTCTGGGGAACAATGATGCTAGACTTCATTTGAGGTTAGCATCAGGTTAAATACCAGTATTTGATTATTACAGGTACTAGGTAACTAAATCTAGACAAAATGGAATTAAACCTGAAATGGCATGATCCCTTAAATGTTGTGAGAAGCAGCATTATTTTATTTTGGTCTCCACAAAATCTGCTCCCAAATGAAAAGGTATTAGTTCCCTTAAAAAATATTTTCTTGGTTCTTGTGGCGGTTTTTTAGCCCTTGTTGGGCAGAATAAACAAAAAAGCAGCAAAGTTTCTGTAAGCTTGCCAGTTCATGGCCCAGATCTAAACTGGAGGAAGATCCTTTGTAGATCCCAAATAATATTAAATGCTTCTAATGTGTGCTGACCATTGTGTCCATTGAGCAGGATGTAGAAGTGCCCAAAACCCACCTGTCTCTATTTGGCTTCAAAACACAGGACAGTCTTGCTGTTCAGTGCATGACAGACAGGTGTGTTGATGGTTCTTGCCATAATGGCTTCCTTGAGTGCTGTTGGAGGAAAAGGTCTGCCTTGCTTTTCTCCAAAATGTCCATATTTTACAGCCCTTGGCTCTCAACTGGGGCATCCACAGCATTCGACTGCTTACTAAAAATGGATTTGAGTGGCTGTGTAAGCACCCTCCTGGATCTTAGGGAGGGATAATCTTCCTGTAACCTTCAGATGTGCCTACTGTTTTTGTGAAGTAAACACTCCTGTTTTACAGCAAAAACGGTTTCATGATGCTGTTCGCAATCAAAAAATCACAGTAACGAGGCATCTAGCTCAGCTGATGAGCAGAATTCAATTAGTAATGATGTGTAATATTTATATGTCAAACTTCCCACTGGAACACACACAAGATTAAACTAGATCTAAGACTCAGAAGCATGGTAGCACCTCACGGTGTGATGCTTGGCCAATGCCAAAGTTTATCTCCAGCTCTGTTGTACTGCCTTGGAACAGACAGTATCTTCCAAACTTCACTCCGAAGCTGCAATTTGAAACCCTCACTCCATTTTATATAAAAGTAACTATTAAAAAAGATGTATGTATAAAACCCCTTTCTGTCAGAGGGGAGACAGGGGCTTTTCCCCATCCCTTTGACGCTAGTAAAAATCAAGCGTCTGCTGCTATTCTGAGTCCCCGGCCAGCCGAAGGGAAGCTCGGCCGTAGGAAGGGGGTTCCGGGCGGCGTGGTCCGCACTGTGTCAGCGGGTAGGAACAGAGGCAGCGTTAGCAGCATTGCTGGGAGATGGAGCGGTAAGAGGGTCACAGAACCACAGACCGTCCTGGTTTGGAAAGGATCCATGGGATCATGGAGTCGCACAGGACCTGGCCGCGCACGGGACACCAAGAATGACTCCCTGGGCCCGAAGAGCGTTGTCCAATCGCTTCTAGAGCTCGGTCAGGTTTGGTGCAGTGCCCAGTGAAGGTTGTTGGAGGTCGGACACCCCGCTGTACTTTTCCTGCGTTCGGGGCTTTCCCGGGGGACGCGCGGGCGCCGCAGCCCCGCCCCTGCTCTCGGCGAGCGGCAGCGCTGCCTGGCTCCCGCGGCCGGCGCTCGACGCGCGCTGCCTGGCGCCGCCCGGGCCGCCGCCGCCATGGCCACGGAGGACGAGATCATCCGCATCGCCAAGAAGATGGACAAGATGGTGCAGAAGAAGAACGCGGTGAGCGCCGGGACGGGACGGGGCGGGAGGCGGATCGGCGGCGGCGCCGCGGGCCCCGGCGCGGCCCGGGCCGGCCCCGCGCTGCCTCCTTCCCGCGGGCGCGGGGCCTGTCCCTCCCCGCCGCCGTTTCCCCGCGCCACCCGGCGGCCTCGGCGCTTCCCTCGGCGCTTCCCTCGGCGCCTCCGCCGGCCCCTCCACAGGAGGGGGACGGCAGTCGGTTCTGTCCCCGGGCCGCCCCAGCTCCAGCGCCTTCGGCCGGGAGGAGGTTCCCTTCCCGCCCGGGCACCGGCCCTGGCCGGGAGCGGCTGCGTCCGCCGCTTCCTGCTCGTGGAACCGCGGGGCTGGCCTTGCGCGGGAGAGAGAAAACCTGCCAGCCCCAGGAGAAACCTGCGGAGATGGCCCCCTTACATGGGTGTTGTCGCTTTTGGTGTGAAAGCCGGAGTTTTAGGGGGATGTGAAAACTAAGATAGGAGTGAAGAGCCCAAACCCAGCTGCGGCAGGGCCAGAGTTGAGTGGGTCAACTTCACAGATGAGGAATGTGAGCCTTTTTCCATTCTTTCTTTCCTTTTTTTTTTTTTTCCTCTTTTTTTCTTTAAGCCGCAACACTTCTAATTGCTTTTATTAATCTGAGGAATAACTCGTGCCCCAGGACAGGGGAATAATATAGTTTGATAGGATTCAATTGGCTTAGCTCAAGTGTTATTGTCATGTATGCCCTTCTTACAGAGCTGAGGTAACATATGGTTTTTATATGGTACCTGCAAACACATCAAATTAAGTAAAATCAGAGTGTAGAGCAACAACCAGATAACTGATTCTGGTTATACATAAAATAGCATGCAAGTAAATTGTCAGCTCTGTTTACTGTTTCTTTATCAGGTGGGCACATTGTTATTTTCTGGAAATTTGTGTATGTATATGTGATTAGTGTTCCTCCTGCAAGGTACTATTATATACATAAAGTTTAGGGTTTTTTTTCCTATATGTTGTGACAATGCATTAAAAGCTTATTAACAGTAATAGTTAGAACCCAACACTGTGCAATTCGTCTAGAAGTAGTTTTGTTATTGTTTAATACTGGAGAGTATAAAGAGCATTATTAATAATATTTGCATATTTTTAGAAATACTGACTGTATTAAACCAAGGAGATTTGTTTAGTTCAGAATGCAAACAAATTCATTGTAAGTACATACCAGTCCCTGAGGTTCTATAATATGGCTTGGTTTAGCTCTGATATATTTAAACTCTTAAATTATACATTGTGGCAGCAAGAGCCTTGTCTAGAGTGAATAATATTTCATGACTGGTATTTATTAACTCCATTGTTTTTCCCTCTTTGTTTTTATTTCTAGCCTCCATGCATTTAAGCACAAAAGCATTTGCTGTCTCATGTTCTGTAAAACTGAAGTCGTGGGTCTTTTCTACAAGGTGTTGAAAGGGTGAAGACTTACTGACTGAGATGCTTAAATATCACAGTCATGAGACTGATAAAGGACAGCCAGCTCAATTTTATTTGTAAAACTTCTGATAACAGAAAGAAAACGACAGCTCTCAGGTAGCATGAGAACGATCCTGGGGAGTAGCCATACCAGGAATGCTGCAGGTGATGACAGGGTATTTCTCTGTGATTTGAGAGGCAGCTGGGAACACGTATTCAGACATGTGTAACATAATTAACTTTCAGAGCTCTGGGGAGTGCTGCGGTGACTTCCCTGGGGCCAGCGTAGGTGTGACATGGCTGAACACAGCAGGCACAGCTGGGCCAGGCTGTGCGTGGCTGGAGCCAGAGCTGGACCTTCATGCTCACCTCTGTCCCAGCAGTGAGAGCAAGGAGTCAGAGCATGGGAGCACCAGAGTCGTTGGGCTTTTGTACTGTGTGGAAACAGATCTGCTTCAGTCAGGCTCCTTGCTACACACAGGTGGCTCCTTTGTTAGCTGCTGCTGTGGCCAAGAGTGGAGATCTGACAGTTTGTCCAAAGCACATGTGTGTAGCATGATAAAAACCCTTAGTGGCATCAAAGGAGAGGATGTACATTAGTATTCAAACCAGGAGGTGTCTCGGTGTTTTTCTTACTAAGCCTTTGTCATTTACAAGGTATTTCTGTATTGTACAAAGTGATTTCCTACCTAATTCTGTCCTGCAGTTAAAATGCTATCTTTAACAAAATTATTAAGGTAGTCTCTATGAAAAGGTACTTTATTGTCTCACAAAGATGAAGAAGAATTGATAAATGCATTCTTACACAAGTACCCACTAAATAATGCTGCTCTTGACAACCTCTTGTGTTCCTTTCTCCGTTTTTACTCTTCAAGATCAGGTATTTGGTCTGTGTCTTTGAAAGAGAATGATTTGATGAGATGCATTAATAATAAAATAAAGGAAAAAAGCTTTGATACTTGCTCTCTCTGAAGCTGTCAAGAGTCAGATGACAAGAAATGTTTGATCTCTCATACAAAAGGTGACTGGGTTGTGGCAAAGCACTCTGTGGCATGTCTTTTGATGAGTTAAAATGGCAGGCCATGCAGACACTCTTTCTGAGTCAGACTCTCGATGATTTGCCTTGACTAAGGATTTAATTGTAGCTGTGCAGATTTCGTAACTATTTTAGTGAAATGATATATGCAGTTCTTTTGTTTTGAAGGAGGAAATAATCTGATTTAGTATTTAATGCACTGTGTGATACGCATTTCTGCTGTTGCTTCGAATTGAAATAGATACTACTCCTCCTTCATAACTGTGATTGGATTAAAACCTGTAGTGCCTTCCTTTGAGCTTCTGTTGTAAGTACACCTTTCTTTCATTAAGCTGCTGTAATAAATAGGTATGAAAACTAAGGCTGCATCCATGGATTAAAAAAAATCAAGAACACCTGAGTAAACTTAGAGAAGAAAATAAAATTTTCTGTGTTATTAAATGTATATTCCTTTAAGTAGAAGGGAATTATAACTGGATAGCTCTGCTGTCTTCAAAAATGTATTTCATTTTCTATTGCCTGAAGCTCAGCTTTAAAATACGGCTATAGAATACCATTCTGTGCTGTTGTGATCTGACCAACTGAAAGAAGCTGGGAGGAATAATCTACTGGGTTTGTATGAAGCTAACTTCTGTTAATTTAAGTGACAAGGTAAATTGAAAGCCAGCCAGACTAGGAGAATGGGACATTGCCTTTCTTTTTCTATAAAATTATAGAAATGCCTTTAAACGAGAGTTTATAACAGTGGTCTTAATGGTTGGGGGGGTTTTTGAACACAGAAGTCTTACAGTAGGAGACAAGTAATTACAAATTATACTGTGCAACTTCCACACTAGTTTTAAGATACAGAGAGCATTTGACTTTATGCTAAGGAAAGCAATTATGAAAATGTTTAGTTGGTATGAGTTTAAAACCAATATAAATTTAATTTGAAAGCATCTAATTCTTGGTGCACAGTATAATTGATTAGAGAAGTGAAGGCTTAGAAAGGATTAGTGCATTATCAATTTTAGTAATTTGATACAGAAACCAGCTTAAAATGTAGATATCATCTGTTAACCTGTTGTTTTTTGTTTGGGTTTACTTTTTTGGTTTTGATTTGTGTTTATGGTTTTTTTTGTTGTTGTTGTTATTCTTGGTGGGGTTTTTTGTTTGTTTTTTATTGTTTTCTGTTTTTTTTTCTTTTTAATTGTTGCGTGGTTTGTTAACCTGTTATGTATCAAGTTGCTAGTATTGGAAAACAATTACTCTGGGAATAATTTTGTTTTCATATATGCAGTTGGGAAGGGATATAGCAGGCAAAGGAATTTTGACTAGACTGTATTTCTAAGATGAGATGAAGAGAGTGCTACTTTGCATTACAGTGTTACTTTCATATTGAATTTGCAGACTACAATCAGCTGTGTTAATTTTAAAATTAAATGCTGTGTGCAGTGTGCTAATAACTTAATTGGTTTGGAAGTAAGTATTACTGGATTATATTTTTTTAAATGGCACATTGACTTCTGTCATTAGTTTTGTTTTGGCTAAGAAAATTTTCTTGAATTTGATTATGTTTTGTAGCAGTGAAGATAATTAACTTGCTTTATTTGGATCTGTGTTTGCACAGAAGAAACCACGCTTATGGCTGTTGAGAGAAAGATATGGTTTAGTGTGCCAACTCAATTTAGCACCTGAAAACATTGTGACATTTCTCAGTCTTGCATCATTGCTGCTAAAATTCTTTGGTTAAGGCTGAAGAAGTTTTGTATAACATAAATAAAAGTTAAATGGAACTTTTGCTATCATGGCAAAATAGTGAGGCTTTAGCTTTATATGTTAATTGAATTTGTGTAAGGTGGAATTTGGTGAAATGTTTGGGTTTGGAGGTTTCTTTGGGTCAGAAGTGTTTGAAAAACAGAGGTTGTAGCCAACATTTGAAGGTGTCCAGAGCTTAGGGTTTTTAGATGTGACACCAAGGTTCCACTTCCATCTTTCTCAGCCTCCTGGTAGTTATTTTATCTTTAGTGGTTAAAGTGTAAGACTGCAGATGGAGCAGAATAATTTACGTTTCCTTGCAACAGGCATTATAATAGAAGTTGTTTAGGGAGAATTTGAAAAGTAAGCAAAATGCCAAATAAAATAGGGTAAATTGAGAGGTAAGGAAAGCTAATAAAATTCCACAGATTTGCAAATGCAAATTTTGTGGGGTTTAGTTCCAAACCTTATGAATTTAAAAAAAAAAAAAAAAAAGAAGAAGAGGTAATGAACTGAACCTGTGAGTGAACTGAATGGCCTCTTGGATGCATGGGCAGTTGTTGCCTCCCTTCTGTTCATACCTTCCAGGTTCAGTACCACGTGCACTTGAATAACAGCCAAATCATCTCAGCCTTTGTGAGGTTTGTGTAGGCTGACAGCCCACGTGCACGGTCACAAGTGGATGGTGCAGAGCTTTGCTGACGTAGAGTTGGTAAATCGTCAAGGTTGAAGAGGTTAAAGAGAATTATAGCATTCACATTTATGCAAACTTTTTTAAAGTAAGGCCTACATTGCTAAGGAATGAATTGTTAAAGTAGCTGGGTATAGACTTTGTTAACATCTAATAGTACAAACTCTGAACTTGAATCGTCTCTCTAGAAAGCTGCTTAGCCAGAATTAGTTAGTACCTTTTCTAACAGTCTTAGCAGGGGAAGAAGAAAAACCCACAATATGTGGCTTTACCACATCATCACAAAAACAGTTAAGAATGATGTCTGTATTTGTTTTATATGTATGTGGGCATTATTGATGGACTGTGCAAAGCTTCTCAACTCCACATTCTTCTGCTAAAACTGATGTGGTTGTTATGAACTCAAAATTGCTGCTGTTGTCTGGATTGTTTCTGATGCGAAGCACCCTTGAAGATGTGTGCTGATTAAGTAGTAATTGACAGAATGCTTTGACTATCATTTGAGTTACATGGGGTAAAACTCCCCTAGTCTTTCAGTGAATACTTTGATTTCCAAGTTAAGGCCTGCACATGCTTAGAGTTTCTGAAGTGGAACATTCCTTGTTCTAGTTCTGTGGATAAATTGAGAACTGGTGGTTTGAACCCAGTATGTGTCCCTGAAGGCAGATAAGTTTATATTGTTGATATTTTATTTGAAGTTCCTGATTGCTACTAACTTGACTTTTTTATTTTCTTTCTTTTTTTTTTTTAGGCTGGAGCTCTTGATTTGTTGAAGGAGCTTAAGAATATTCCCATGACCCTTGAGTTACTACAGGTATGGTTTTCTTATTGTTGTTGTGTTGCAAATGTTAACTCCCTAATGAAGAAGGTGGAGCCAGCAGATCTGAAAGAAGGTTATGCTATTTAAATAGATTCCTAAATCCAAAGTTCTTGGAAGCGTCAGTTTTGTTACATGGTAGTCTAGTCTCACTTCACCTGATGTAGCACACTTGAATATTTTCTTCTTGTAGCAAACTCTTAAAGCCTGTCTTTCTGATTAAGTTGGCAGTTGTGAATTTGATCATGCACAAGGGAGAAGAGCTGCTTACAAATTTACTGGACATAGTCTCTCACATTTTTACTCCAACACAAATGTGGTGTGTTTCCTTCCTCTTGAACGAGAATGCACCTGATTACAGCTGATATGTCTTTTCTTATGTAGTTAGTTCTGGTTTTGTCTTGTAAGTGAGGAGAAACGTAGTTGATACCTTTTGGGCAAGTTGTATTTGACAAACACTCCACATCCCTCCTCCTTCATTCTGAATAATGTATTTCTTAAGGTAATTATTCTCCTCTTTTTCTCTTCTGGGCTGGAGGGATGGAGGATACAGTCTCTCCCAGCTGCATGGATACTCTCACTAATTTTACTTAGATTTACATATTTAACAATATGTCATATATTATTTGCAAATTCTTTCAAAAAATAAACTTTCCTTGTATGTCAAGTTTCAGAGCTTGTCATGTAGTTCATCAGTGAGCAACTTTTATTCCAAATTAGCCAGATTTTCCATATCTGTATAAATTTTCAAATGTCAGAGTTAAATATGAGACCTGATTTGCTGTAGTAGCCAAATAAATTGGAGGAGACTGAAAAGTAACTTTTTTCTAAGGGGCAATGAATAGTCAGAGATAAGCAATTAGCATAAAGTTCAAATTTTAAAGAAGCAGTAACATTTTTGATTCATGCATCCTATATACTTGCAGAATGTACTTAGTAAGTTATTACTAATATTATTTCTATATAATATTATATATATTATATAATATAAGGTGTCACTTTTATGCATAAATGCTGGTACACTTCTGATACTTTATCCCCTATGTTCCGCCTTCTTCTTTAAAAAGAAAACAAACTTAACCCCCTCCAGAAAAAACACCCCACACAAAACAAAAACAAAACCCAGAAAGCCCATCTGGTTAACCTGATTTTTTGGAGTTTCTTTGTGCGGGTCTTAAGGCAAATTATATTTTGCATTAAGTATAATAATATTATATTGACTTTGGAATTAAAAATCACTCTGCAAGTGCTCTGTAATTTCAGGTACTTTGGGATACTCTTGCATAGTGCATTGTCTGTACCTTAGTTAGGAAGCTCTTAATAAGTATCCTTTGCTGTATTCAAAACAGTTCCACTGCTTAAGATTGCATTTAGCAACATATTTGGACTCAAATTAATTTTTTTTCTTGGGAGTTTGATAATATATTAAGTCTGACATAAGCTTTCTTTGTTGGCCTCCCAAATTTGCTTAAGCAATGGTGAGCTCGGAGCAAGAGCTGAAATGCGAAGTAATTGTACTCCATGCAGTAGAGCATTAGTGGTGGAGCATTAGCGTGCCAGTGTCAGGAAGGGTGATGATCATGAGATAGTAGAGGCACAATCTTCCTCTGTGTAGATCAAGACTTCTGACAAACGTGTTTGAATTGATGAAATGTGGAACAAAAGTGAAAAAACATACTTCCATACCCATTTTTATGAAGTTTTGAAAACTGGCTACATTGAGAAAAGCTCTGCTAACTCTGTTATTCCTGTGTAATAAGAGAAGTTATGATTTTTCATGTAATACCACTGCTACTTCATCCTGAAATTATGAGGTCCTCTGACTAGTTTCTCAGGTATGTGCAACAGGAAGGTGCATATTAGTAGTCTGGACTTGTGCTGGTGTCTTGTGTCTTTCTTGCCACATTTATTTTCACAGAAAACTGAAGTGATTGCAGGCAGTAATACCACTGTGTTACATCTGATGAGTTTTATGTAAGCAAGCTGATCCTTGCTCAGCTAGGCAGGGAGCCAGTAGGCTTCCTCACACAATTTATCCAGTGGTCTGACTTGCAAATCTGTTTAGCAGCTTCACAGCATTAAAGGCATCATGTCCCTGGTGCTAATTGTGGTTAGTGCACAGCTAAACAGCGAGTGGCACAGTCAGGCTTTATTTTCACAAACAGGTTTTACAGGAAATTACACACACATGTGCAGAACTAGGTTGTGATGTGCAACCCTTGTTAATGGCTTCAGACCAGTTCACTGGCAAGACCTAGAAACCCATGGGTGGTTATTCTTCAGTGGTTGGTTTGGCTCTGCTTTGGTCGCAGTGCTCACCAATTCTCTATCCTCATACACTTATAATTTAAAGTTGGAAGCACGTCTGCTTGCTTCGGTGGTTGCTCTTCCTCCCTGGCTGTGTTCCTTACATTTTTGCATTTGTTCTGGTTTATAGAACACCTGCTGCCACCATGTGCTCTGCTTTGTGTTCTCATAGGTTACTTATGGTCACTGCTGCTCATACCTGCTGAGGGCTGCTGGCCAAAGCTTCAGTGCTTCAGGGTGAAAACAGCTGTTTTTATGCTGTCTTTGACTGTCTTTACTCTGAAAGCAGATGTAAAGTGCTCTAGAATTTAAAGTGGGGAAGAATGAAAAACCTGGAGTTTATCACTTAACAATGGCAATCACAAGAACAGCTCTACAGACAGGACAACGAAGGAAATTTCAAATACTGTCAGCTGGTTTGTCACTAAAATACGGTAATTTTGAGAATATAACACTGATATTTTGTGACTATCTGTGCCAGTTAGAAGGCAGATAAATTAGTAGATCATTACTTCCTCTCTTCAGGTAGACCTGATCCAGTGCTCTATAAAAGCAAATAGGTGAGTTCTTTTTATGTACTGCTCTAAGAAAGCTGGCAGTTCAGAAAGTTCCCATAAACTCTCTCAATTGTGTGAGAAAATTTTCTGGTTAGTTTTGAGTTTTACTTAAGTTTTTGGATTTTACTTAAGTCTGTAAGTTGGTGTGTTTTCCCTTTGCTGATAAGCACAGGCTGTTGTTGTGCCCAGCTATTAATGGAGGGTTGGGTTTTTTGGTAGGTACATTTTTCTCATCCAGATGTGGTATTTTACGTATTTTCAAGGACATGTTATTTTTTACTGTCTGAACATAATGTTGAGATTTAAGTGTTCAAAATATCAAGAGAAATGCCCAGTACCATTAATGTGGGTGAGCAGAGTCCATCTTGGAACATTTTAGTTACAGGTGAGTAACCATCTGTTTTCTTTAAATACATGTTTAGAGCTGATGCTCAGGCCTGAGGTTATTTAATGTGTTTCCTTGACTGAAATAGCTAAGGATTATTTCAGTATGTTTCCAGTCATTTAGCACATCCATGGTGCCTCAGAAAGTGTTGTTTGGGTTGTAAGAAGTAATTTACAGGAAAAACCATTTCCATTTTTGCAAGCCACAAAAATTTAAATTTTCCTTTTAAGAAGAAGGAAATTTATGATGATCTATTGCAAAAGTAAGTAGAGTAATTTATATTTAGTGTGTCCTGTAAATGGTAAGGCAACAAAACTGAACATCTTAGCATCAAATAAAAAAATTTAGTCATCAGTCAGACTAAAAAAGGATAATAAAATCCTTATTTATATTGTTAAATGCTTTTCTTCTCTTGCGAAGCTAAAAGGGTGGAAATTTTCTCCTTGTTACGTGTACACATTAGCCCTAAATCTTCTAAAATGTTACTGTTGAGCTATATTGATGTCCTCGTCTTCTGAGTCTTGAAAGGTGTGAATTGTAACTTGCTCTCATATTCGCTCTGTAGGTGGCAGTAGTGGCAAAGGCTTAAAGCTTGTCACCGTCTTGGCCTCTTCAGAAAGACAGGGCAGCTCATTCTTTAAAATCTTAAACACAGAGTTCTGCGTCTCTCTAAAGTCAGAACTCTCTGTGCTAACGATTCTAAAGAATCTCAGTGTCAGCAAAATTTTTAGGTACCGAAAAGATGCTTGCTCCCAGCTGGGTATTTCAGCTTTTTCCACAGGCATTAAATGGGAATTCTAAGAGTATGATGTCAGTGAAGAAGTTAGCAAGCTTCTTATGGTGCTGAAATATAAATACAGTCCTTAACCCTTGTGCCCACCACCACTGCCCACCCCTCCCCAAACTTTTATGATGAAGACAGATGGTAATACTGTTGTATTTCTTTTTAAAATGTCCATATTGTTAAATTTATTTTTATAGCTTGCAGTATTTTGTCCTGATAATCACAGGAGAGAAGGAAACAAACCCACACAAAAGAAAAAGAAAAAAGATACTGTAAAAATTAATGTCAAAGTACAAATTTATGTGTGTTTATTTGTTAAGTTGCCTTCATGTCACTTGTGATAATGTATATTTCAATTTCCTTTGCAGTCTACCAGAATTGGAATGTCAGTGAATGCAATACGCAAGCAAAGCACAGATGAAGAGGTTACATCTTTAGCAAAATCTCTTATCAAGTCTTGGAAAAAGCTGTTAGGTATGGCAACAGGAATGTCCCTGCTCTTGCATGTTTTAACTCTGTCTAGCCTTGGTGCTCATCATCAACACTGCCTTGCTTTAGACATATTTGTGCTTTTGTGTGAATATTGAAACTTCCAGGGCTGGTGCAATTGGTTTTTTACTCTTTGACTCTCACCAGGCTATTACTGTGAGAGTGTGTGCAGAGAAACAGTTAATGCATTTTATTGGGGCTGGCAGGCAGCAGGAAATCAGCTTTTCTGACATGATTCATTTCTGAAGTCTCATTGCCTACAGTTGAGCTGGAGTGACTGTACTGCAGCACTAAGCACTAACGAACTTCTTGACTATTTTCTTTGTCAAATATAACAAGTACTCTGAGGAATTGGTGAAAAATCTCATGTGAGAGTGTGGAGGCTTTGATGTTTGGTTATGAAGTGATTTCTGAAGATAAAAAAACAGTAAAAATTATGTTAAAATCTGTTATAACTTAGTAGTGAGAAATAGAGCTGCACTTTCTAAAACTTCATAATTTTAAACAGCTTACTAATTAGCAACTTAATAATTTTTGTTTAATTTCCTTTAAAGCAATTAATAAGCTTAAAACCCTTCTGTTAGGGTTTTATTCAAGGGTATTTGGTAGTACTTAATATATCTGAAAATGCTTAAATGTCAAAATTGGATAATACTAGACATGCTGATAAAACACCTTAAAATTCATAATGACCTTAATAATAAAAGTAAATGCAGGAAATATACAGGATCTTAATGTAGGATCTGATCAGAGTTAACTGGTAAATAGTGAAAGTAATATACTTTTTTAAACTTAAATGTAGACAATCAACTTTATTATATCAATATATAAAAGTGGTAAGGTATATAAGTGGAGAAATTGACTTGCATATTAGTGTCAGTTATTCTAAAGACTTCTAAAAGTAGCTACTGGATTGGGTGATTTAGCTCTCAAGTTACTAAAAGTTATTAGTCTAAGTTTTAAAAACAAAACCCTATTAATATCTGGTGACAGTTAATTTTTCTTCTTGGAAGTTCAAATTTTTAATACTGCCACTTAGCTTGACAACATAGTAGAGGAGATACTCTCATTTCGAACAGAATTCTCACCTGGAGTTTGCTCAGAAGCTGCTCTCCTTGGGGAGTGGGAGATCTGCCTGTTTATCACTGTTCTTTGAAGGATTTGCCATTTTTTTGTTGAGACACTAAAAATAATTGTCTCATTTTTTTAATGCCTGAGTTCCTTAAGTCAGTCAAAATTGTCTTAATACATTGTTACTTAAAGTTTGCTGGTGTTTAAGTGTTCAAATATTGTGAACAGGGAGTGTCACTCCTGCCTGAAGGGTTTCCATGCTGTAGTAGTCTGGGTAAGAACGTGGGGCCTGAAGGTCACTGCAGGTCAATCTGGGTGTAGGCTGCTTTGTAAAGGAGCAGTCCTGACTTCCCTTCTGCACAGGTGCCTCTTTGCTCCCTCCTGTGTTACAACTAGTGCTGGAGTTGCTATCCAGAAGACCAGAGATGGGAACTGACCAGTTGGAAACAAATTGTTTTGTTTATTTCTTCTGGCTTGAAATTTCAACTATCACTTTCTGGTCCAGCCTGTTTGCAGTTACTGTTTCCTGCACAGGGATTGTAGCAGTAACAAACAGCTGGGGCAAGGCGGACCTTCTCCTTTTGTACCTTGCTAGATTCAGATTGTTTTAACACAGTTGGGAGACTCTAACTAAGGCATTTTGCATGAGGTGAAGTCAAACGTGTGAGGAGCAGGAAAGCAAATAAGAAATATTTGGCATTTATCAGAATACTTATTGAGGCAGTGGGTATGTAACCTTCATTCATGTGCTAATTTTTGTTACAGAACAGATACTATTGTGTGTGCATTATTGTGCCAGCTCTAATATAATTGTGGTAATGCCCTTACTACATAAAATCAAATTAATTCTGAAAATACAGCACTGCTTTTATTCAAAACTTAGGTAGTTAAATTTTCCTTGGTTGTAATGTAGATCTTATAATAAAGCATAGTAAGGCAAATGTTTTGGCTCTTTTATCACTGCTCAATAACTCATTAGAATGTAAAGTTTCATGTGAAAAGTTTCTGTGAAAGATAGGGTATAAGTATGGGTGGGAATCTTACAAAGTACTCTTATTCTGTTTTGTCATTAGTTTTGACTTTCTTGGAAGAATACGAAATACCGTATGTTGAGCTGCTTGAGAAATCAGTTTCGATTATGCTGTTTATAGTGCATGTAAAGTGGTATGGAGCAAAGATGGCAGCAGAAGCGGACAGCTGTTAATCGTACCAAGCATTGTACTCAGAGCTCTGAAGTCTTTGTGAGTTATTTTTATAAATGACATTTTGAATTTAGGCAAGAATTGTTCATTGTTCAGGCTGCATGTAATGTTTCAGTTCAATGCTATCAGAATTCAGTTTTTAGGAATGCATGGGAAACATGAGAACGAATTAAAGTTTTGAGTTGTGAATCACCAGATCTTTGTGGCTTGACTTGAGCCTTCACAGGTTGCCAAACGTTTTTCAGACGGGTCAGAAGCTGTGCAGCAGAGGGCTTGTGACCATCTGAAGTGACTCACTGGATGAGCCACAGTGCAAGGTCCCTTTCAGATACTTTCTGGAAGTTAAACTACACAGCAGAGATGGTTAGAATTTGCATAAGGAGCTAAATTCAGCTCTCAGAATAGAATGGTACTCAGATATAACATGGGATTTACCAATAATGATTGTTTTGCCAAGTAGCTGAATATACAGAGTATGCTGTACAGGTAATGAATCTATACACATTCATTTAGGTAGTCGGAGGTTTTTCTTATGTCAGAAAAGCAACAAAAATTCCTTAAGAAATATAACCCTCATAATAAATAATTACTTGCTGAACTGAGGAGTATGCAATGGAGAAGAATGTCCAGACCTGTAGGTAAACTTTCCTCCAGTAACATTGTATACTGAACTCAAAATGCAGAAGTATGGCACAATAATCTTAACATTAAGTGATTAATTGTTGCCAGTATTCAAAACTAAAAGTGAGGCCACAAACATTTTGAAATGCCTATTTCAAAGAAGGGCATGCCTGAGTAATTTTATTTTAAAAGAGTGTGTAAGTGTTAAAGACACCAGTCAGGCATCATGGAAGTATTTTATACTAAGATTACTTTGCTCACAATCTTTTGTTATTTCAAACCTGGATTTGATTCTTCTGGAGCCAGCAGGTGCAGTCTAGGACTATCTTACAGGTATGTTAATGTGTCATAAGTGAAGTTGTTCAAGGACATCTCAAAGCCTACTGGCTTTCCTAAAAAAAAATGTTCCTAGCAAAGCAAGTTCTTAAATTAGTCTAATAGCATTTATGAATATTATTTACTTTTGATAAGAAGAGTACATATCTTTATAAGACATCAAGCAGAATCAAGTTCAAAACCAATTTCAGTAGTTTCATTTTCATATCGAGTATGAGTTGTGGAAATCACCTCTTGTGAAGTGTATATTTGGATCTGTTCATGTACTGTTAGTAAGTCTGTAATTTATTAAGCAAATCAGTGGAGAGATAACACACAATGCATTGTACTCTGTAAGAGAAAAAGACATATAGTGATTAAGTCCATGTGTCACGGTCTTTTGTCACTGATGACAAAAAAATACTTAGCAAACAGTTCATTATTTTGTTGTTTACTTACGGATTTTTAGCTATTCCTCCTCTCAGAGCTACTACTAAAAAGAAACTTTACTGATCTTACCTTCATGCCTTACTACGTCTTGTAGAGGAATTGCTGACAAGTGTAGCTGCTTGTGCATCTCAAGATTATTTGGTCAGTCTAGAAAATGGAGCCTGAATGATTATTGCATATGAAGGTCATTGTTAAATTAATAACTACGTAATTTAGTACCTGTTCTCTTATCTCTTTCCTTTAACTTATTTAAACTGAATACTCAGAAAACTTCACAAGTTCTGGTGGTGATTCCTGAATAGTCAACACACGATATCCCACTAAATTAAATTTTCATGTGCTTCCAGGTAATAACTAGCCACCTTTCATTAATGTTCCTGGACAAATTTTTATTTAATACTTTTCCTCATTTGAAGTTAGATTTATAAATTAATAACATTGCATCTTTATATTTTCAAATTTTCTCTCATTACTAGCAAATGTCTAGTGTTGCCTTGTAACATAGAAAAATCTAGCAGACAGCTATTAATGGCTTCTAACATTCAGATTAATTATGTTATCTGGCTGTATCTTATTGCATTAAAATTTTTGATTTGATAACACAAACCACTGTTATGTCTTATTTGACCATGGAGAGATTTTTCACTGAAGAAGCTTCAGATATCTTTAAAATTAACAGCAAGACCCAGGTAGAAACTGTAGTGCAGCTGTTAAACTTTAAATGTCTTTTTCCAATGGCTAATTCTTATTACTACCATGTTCCTTGTATTTTAAAGAAGAAGTATTAATATAAATTAACTTCTCTTATAAAAAAACCAAAGCTTTGAGGGTTTTTTTTTTTTTTTTATGGCTGCCTGAAGATGCAGTAGCTAAAACTGTGAAGTTACAGTTTTCAGTCCTAAAATTGGTGACAGTTTCTATTTGTTTCTGAAGAAAAATTTGGTAAGTTTGAATAGCTGTATGGAGTTGCAAAAAGGAACTGCACAACTTGTAGTTTGTAGTATATAAATATTTATAATATTGTGTAGACTTCCTGAAGTGAATCACATTGGCATTTTTAAAGACATTTCACAGAAGGGCCATTTTTTTTCCACCTTACTTTGTTACAATTTCTGTGGTTGTTCATAGTTCCCATTAGATGTCACTCTTCCTCTGTATTAGAGTCTGGTTATTGAATATAAAATAAGCTAATTAGTAAGGGCTTTTAATTTGTCAAGGATAATTTTTCTTTCCTCAGAGGATAGATGAAATGCTGCATAGGAGGCTGTTAATTGCACTCTGTTCTTTTGTCAATATAGTATTTCAATAAAACAAGATACCCTTATTACTGTGTGAGTTTAAGGATGGAAAGCATCTCTTTTAATGCTTTCCAATTTATGATCCATAAAGCAACTTAAACACTTAGGATAGTATTAACTTTATATTCAGCTTTCTGAAACTAGATTAAGCAAAAACTCTTCAGTGATTAAAGAAGCTGTAGTTTTGAGGACTTACTTGCTGCAGATGTTCAGTCTCAGCTGCTCAAGTCTGACCTTGGTTTGAGACGCCCTTGCATAGCCTGGTCTGCAGGTCTAGGAGGAGGTGTGCTTTTATCTGTGTGCCTTGTGTATACCGTGCCCTCCATAAGGGAGAGAAGCCATTGGGGTATTGGCAGGTGTTTGCAAATGCCTGCCCTTGGTGAAATGGTGCTGGGCTAAATGGAAGTGTTTGATAGAGGAGATCTGGGTGCCAGCTATACGAATGTGGTGTGTATGCCTGATAGGCCGGAGATGATACCCAGGTCAGACCTGAATTTGACAACTGTGTGCCAGGAAAAAATGTGTAGGTATATGGGCTGAAGCCCAGCTCCTGCTTTGCAGGATTTGAGCTGTACCCCAACATACCTGTTTGATCTCCTGGTTTGTCTTAAAGCCTCTGACAAAAATGAGCATGTACTTAAAACATTATGAAGTTAGATGAGATTGCATGCCTATTTGGAACATCTTTAAAGATTATATCATGTAATCACATGTAATCAGTTGTTGCCATAGAGAGAGTGAGTATGCATGTTAAAAATGGGAGTTGTTTTCTTTCTCTTAATGCACTTCAGTTGTCATAGCAGAGAACTCATGTGATCCATTCAGTTTATAGTCTCGTTTGCTTTCTTAGTGAAATTATTTTTATAAACAGAAGTCGTTAAATTGGTATCTTTATTAGGAATTTTTTTAATAACATCTTCAGCTTATTAAAGACAGCCTGAGTGCACTATCTGTGTTTAATTATCGTTTTTTTCCTGGAACTAAATTTATCAAGGATTGACTGCAACATTGCAAACAATGGGTGAGCTCTTGAAGGCTGGGGGAATACTCTGGAGAAGTATCTTCTTGTGCTTTTCTGGTTCCTGTACTATTTTGTGCATATCTCTTTATAGGTGCAGCTGGAGACAGGATGGTAGATTGGTGCCTAGTCTGATCCAGTACTGCTGTCTCTGCTCTCCTTTTATGATGATTTTTTAACAAAGTGGTGTTTGATTGGATAAATTCCTTAACTCACAGGTTAAGGAAAGGATCAAAATCATGTGAAGTTTATTGTTCCAATAAAAATAAAGTCAGTACAGTTATTTTCTACTCTCTGAAATTAAAAAGCTCGATGTTTGAAGAGACCCAAATTTGTGAATTACATACAACTAAGTTCCTCTGGGAAGCACAGGGATGGGGTTCCTCTGGAAATAAGGATACTTTTAGATGCTTAAGCAAGGATTTACATGCTTAGTTCAGGACATCTTTGTTGGCAAGACTGAGCCTTAACAGATTTCCCTCCTTTTCTTGTTCTGTTTTTAATTAATTTTAAAGTTTGTAATATATGCTTATTCCAGTAATACAGTCTAAAAATGTAGAAGTGTAATAGCAGCTTCATAAGGGCTTGGAAAGAAGAATTCACAAAATCTGTCAATCACTGATGCCGATCTCACTAGGCTTTCTCTGTAGGCAGTAGAGAGCCATCCTTTCTAGAGAACAAATCAAAGTAGGCACTCAGTTTAGCTCTTTACAACGGAAGGGCGTATGCATTCTTGCTGTGCTAGAGTTAAATGTTGTGATTGCTCTTCTCCATAAAGACTTTTGTCTTTATTCTTTGTAAAATCGTAGTGAAACATAACCTTTATGGGAATGGCAGATTCAAGTATATTTAAATACTGAGGCAAATAATATAAGAGATATCAGAGAAAATACTGTCTGTATGTCTGGAAAAGTCCATCAAAAAGATGAAAAAGACTTTATATTTTGCCAACTGTGGTATCTTCCACGCTATAATTTAAAAGAATGGCATGTATGTAGTAGGAATTTCAGTATATAAAAAATGGAAGACATATTCCAGAGACTTGATGCAATACCTGGGAAGTTACTGTCTACCTAATGCAGGAGTGTTGGAAAAAATAAATCATTAAAGCCTGTTTCCATCATGTCTTCGCTTACAGTTTAAGCAGATGCTGGACTTGACTCGAAGGATCTGAGGTGTTGTCATGTTTTCCATTTCCTGCATTGGGAGGGTGTTGGGAAGCGGAAGGCTGTACTGCGAGAGAAGGTCAAAGCAGAGAGTGGGAGCTGGTAGCATTTCTAACTGGTTCAGGAGAAATCATGATATTTTATCACTGCTTTAAATCAGTTACTATTTCTGGGTAGAAGAGAGTTTCTCATGTTTTGTATTTCCAGATGGACCTTCCACTGATAAAGATTCTGAAGAAAAGAAAAAGGAGCCTGCATCTTCCTCACAAAACAGCCCTGATGCCAGAGAAGAAAGGTGCTTAATTCTTAATGGCTGTGCAAATAGTGTCACTCAGTATAAATTAACATAAAACTATTTGGTCTGAATTTGTAATGTGAGAGACAGCTGCCATGTTCTTTTCTGAAAGACAGAGTTGTACAAGAAACAGTTGGGGAAGTAAACTGTGCTACTGTTGACATGATTTAAAAAAAGGTACATAGGTCAAGATATGGCCAGACAAGTTTTGTTTGTTCTATCTGCTGGGTCTGTTAAATACCCTGTCCTCTCAGTACTAGCACCAAGCTTTGAGAACTGTAAAACAACTCTCAGTCTCTGCTTTGGGGTAATTGCATATGTTTCTTTTGTGTGTTAGCTTTTATGTTTAATAAACATTTTGCACTTTTTTTGGTAAACACAAAGTATGTTACCAGAAAAAAAAGCCTACATTAACTTCAGCTCACTGCAGGAGCTGAAGAACATTTACAAAAGAGTATTTGCAAGCCCATTTCTTCTATACATTTCTGAGTTTAGTGATCTCTTTTCGGCAGCCATTTTAAAATTGAAGTTTAACCTCTAACTGTATGTCCAGATGGAAGCTGAAAACTTGGTTTACAGTTTGCACAACTGCATAAATTGTGGGGGTTTTTTTGTGACCATGGCACCCCTTCAGTACAGTAAGCAGATTGAATGCAAGGGAGTTGCTCCAGAGTGAATGTTGGTGTGATGTATCGTCACTGTTTCTCAAAGTAAAGTTCTGTGGGAGGAAAAAAGATTTCATGTTAATATAAAGAACTGAGAATTAAAGCTTATGTGCCATATAATGGAATGAAATACCTGCTGTGCCTCTATTGTGTGGAATACCCTAGTGAATAGTCTAAAGACACTTTAAAAATCGTATTGACTCTAGAGCTATTAAAAATTGTATTGACTCTAGAGCTATAAATAACTTTTAAAAGGTGGCCTGTGTTCTTATTTTGGAATACCATAAAATGGATGTAGCAAAAGACTCGTATTTTGCCCAGAAACAAAGTTATTTGAAGGGGGGAAAAAACATTAATATTGGTTTTCATTTTGCCTTTTTTTAGCAGTTCAAGTAGCAATTCCAGCAGCAGGAAGGAGGAGGGTAGTGCTCCCTCAAATTCTTTTATCCCTTCTTTTCCCCGGGCTCCAAGCACTTCAGACTCTGTACGAGTGAAATGTAGAGAAATGCTCTCTGCAGCTCTCAGAACAGGAGGTGAGCTTTGTAGAATATATTTTCAAGTTTAACTATTTCCTTCTTTATTTCTCTCTTTCCCACTCTACTTTTTCTCCTACCCTGCAGGGTAGAATAAACCCTGTTTGCATCTATTTGTGTGTGTAGACCATAAACCAGTTTACCCAAGGTGCACGTAATGAGTAACCTTGATGGCATGGGAATGTTTGAAAATGCATTTTCGTTGCTGCTAATTCAGGACATGTTGTGGCTCAGTTCATCTGATACCTTACCAACAGGGGATCTTCTTCTCAGGAATGTTATTGCCTCCTTAATGCTTCATTTAAATCTTTTTATAGAGGCTGCTATTTTTTTTTGTCTCAGTCTTTTTGACTTAGAGGGTGTGACTATATGCAAGACTGCCTTTCTTAACACCAGAAGTCCTGGAAACCTTCAGATTTTAATTTTTGAAGGCTGCCTTTCTATTTTCATGTATTATTGACATTTCATTAAGATAACTTGGAATAATAGAGTCTTGCATTGCTCTTAACCTCATGCCTTTTGGGTATCTGTAAATTCCTTGACTGTTCTGGGATTTTTTCCTTTTTATCTCTCATGTACACTTGGGTGTCTTTAAACTGACAAATTGAATAATTTGCTGGATAAGGAGCAAACTAAAAGCTGGACTTTTCAGAATTACCTGATTTTTTTTCTGGTGCATCCTATTCTTTATCAAAATTATGACCAAGCTCCTGTTTCTCTGTTCTAAGCTTAATGTAACTTGGCCCAGTGTAAGTAGACTTCTGAATCATCTGTGTTTACTCTCTTATTCTTTCTTTTAATTCATATGAATTCAGGTATAGACAATAAGCAAAACTGACTAAAGACCACTAATGAATTAGTGGTCATCTGGATATGTAGTTCATAGACTTTTTTTGGGACCAGACAGTCACATACAGCATCTTCATTCATAATTCTATGTAGTCTTCATTTTAAATAGTTTTCCGAAAACTTTTTTTGCTGTGTTGCTTTCTACAACAAATGTAAACTGATGATCCATGAGTTAAAAACATAAGGTTATTTTTTTGTTTATGGCCTTCGGTATGAGATCAAAGGACAAATGATGTTTTGATTACTCACTGAAATATACCCATGTTGAAATGAGGAGGCAAATATTATATATAATTTGTTCTTAAGCTGTCTTGGAAAGGTAGATGTCTTTGTGAAGAAGCATTTTGGTCAGAACCAGTAAACAGTTATCTTGAGACATTTTAGTTCAAATGTTTTATTGCCTTCAAGACTACTGTGGTCTATTCTAATTTACATGTTTTATGACACATCTCTGCTTTGCATTTAAAAAAATCTAATAAGATTGTTTGTTATTTAATTACTATGTTTCTAATGAAATTTTTCTCTTCCATGCATGCAAAACATTTATTTGCTTGTTCTTGTATTATATGGACAAAAACAATTGATTAAACAAGATAAAATGTTTCCCTTTTATAATAGGCTGTTCTACGCACAGGCTGTGGAGATGGGAGGGATGCCAAGCCTATTGGAATATTTTAGATTTTTCTGTGTAACAGTGTTTTTTGTTTCTACTTGTGTTTACAACTAGGTGTCAGAAGTTTTTTTGGTTTTTAAATGTTTTTAACTCTTCCTTCCTTCACTTATTTATGTTCTTCTAAGTAATAAATTTTGAAAGGTTAAGTATGCAGTAAATTAATATTACATATACAGAAAGAAGACTCAACTGCTGAGTTACAGTGTTCTGGAATTATAGGAATCTCAGAGTGTCAGGTTGCTAATATTTTATAATTTATTTTCCTCAGATGATTACATTGCTATTGGTGCTGATGAAGAAGAGCTGGGTTCTCTGATTGAAGAAGATATCCTTTTTTGTATATCTGTATGCTCTAGGGCAGTAGTATTTTTGAAAAACAGTAATTTTCAAATTAATTGACTTGTTCTATATATTGAGTGTTTCTGTATTTCATATAAAACAAAAATGGCAACTGTGTTCAACAAATCAGTACATAAATGTAGTGTTTAAAAAACCAGACCAACCTAAATGATTTGCCTTAAAATATGTAGGAATGTATGTAGGTGAGCGTGTGTGGGTTCTTTTCGGCACAGTATGTTTTCCTTGTAGCAGCAATATTATCTCTTACTGAAGCATTCTTACATAAAATGTTGGGCTCTTCTTTCCTATTTAGATTTTTTTTTTTGTTAACAGTCTTAATAATTTTTTAGTATCTTTATTTAATTTTCTACAAGTTTGTTTCTAAATGAATTCACAGTTCTCAAAAGGGTGGTTCTGTACCAGTGTTTGAATCATTACAGAACAGAGGTCTGTGCTTCTTTTTTTAACCAAAAAAATCGTGTTAGTGAGCTGTCAGTGTTTGAATATTTCATTCAGAAGTTAATTAATTCTCAGGATGAGATCAAGAAACTGGACATAAAGTTATGGATGACTTTTCACAGTTACAGTTGAGGTCCTACTACCCAAAAATTCATACTTTGCTGACCCTGTACTAAACTATGATTAGGCTTCAGAAGGTTGTGAATTCTGCTGTGTTGCTGTGTTGAACAGGAAAGTAGCTGTTGGTTGGGGTGGGGGGAGGACTTGACAAACAGTGGAGAAGTACCTTGGTTTAGATCTTGCCTCCCAGAATTAATCCTTTCTAGGGCTCTGTTTTACTTGTTAATGTTTTACTCTATTTTACTTATCCATGTTTTGTTCCTTAAATCCAAAGCACCTATTTTTCAAGAATTAAAAAACACTGATATGAAATACAAAAATAGGGTACGAAGTAGGATAGCAAATCTCAAGGATGCAAAGAACCCTAACCTAAGGAAAAATGTATTATGTGGAAACATTCCTCCTGACAAGTTTGCTAAAATGACAGCAGAGGTAAGTAAAGCACAGGTCTTGAACTATTTCCCTCTTGGACTTACATCCTGGCCTGTATTTATTAGCCATAAAAGTAACTTGTGTAAGCTGGCATACTTCTGAAAGACTATGGCTTTTTTGTGGCTTGCAGAATCAGAATTACAGGGCTATGCTGGGGTAGAGGCCATGAAAGTGTCTTTACAAGTGAAAATAGATGTAGAAATTTAAATGAAAAATGAGATTTTATGGGAGAGAAAAATGAATCTTGTTAACATCGTGTTTCAGTTCTGTAGTTCTGCTTCTATGTGTTAGATTCTGCCCCCTCAAATGAGATATAAAGGAGTGTCTTGGCGGCTGTGAGAAATTAGTTATGGTCAACTAATGAAAATCGTGACTAACTTTATTCCAAAAGAAAGTTATGGTGGTTTTTCTTTTGTTGATTTTTACTATAGCTTTACATAAGGTTAGGACAAACAGGCTGGTGAAAGAATGTGTAGAAAAAGCAATTTGTACCTTCAGTATGTATTTTGATTTTCTTTGTTCTGCATATTTATGTACATATGTACCAACATATATTTCATCCTTTCCAGTGCACATGGTTTGTTTGATTAATGTTTTGGATTAAAGTGTCAAATGGCTAAAACCCCCATAGTGTTAAGATTACTTCTGAAGTAAAAAAGCATTGATACAAGATTTTCATTCCACATCTACATGGGATAGTGAAAAAAATTGTATTGAAGAAAAATGTAACAAATTGGTTTTGCTGTGCACACTTGATTTCTAGACCTTGTGAAGATCTTGTGCACTAAAACTATTTTAAAGGAAAAAGAAAAGGGGGTGATTCTGAACTCTTTGGTTAGTGTTTAGAAACCAAGTTTATATGATTTTTGATGACATATGGTAAATTATGGCTGTACTGTATTTACCAGTACAAATATGGAAGTCAAAACAATGTAAATTTTTTCCTGTAATAAATGTTATGTAGCTCAATGAGATAATTATCCAAGGATCTAACTTAGGGAGAGCATCTTTTTTGCCTCTTTGGAGGACTTCTAAGTCCTCTACCTTGCCTTGCTTGCATTTCTGAACTTCAGAAGTGTATTTGCATAGAAATGTTTCTAGATGTTTGACGTTGTATTTTTTTCCTATCTGTGTTAAAAAAGAGAACATATTTAACTTCTTGTAGCTTCTGTGCTGTGAAATAGCCCAGCTTAAGTCTTGTAAAATTAAAAATGTGTAGAATTATGTTGCCCTTCAACAGAGTTGTTGCTCATGGATTCTAAGGAAAAAACTGAATTGGCTCACACAGTGATAACTTATTTTAAAGCTAAAACTCTCTAGTAAACTCTGTCTGCTCTTTGTCCTTTGTAGGAAATGGCAAGTGATGAGCTGAAAGAAATGCGCAAAAATCTGACCAAAGAAGCTATCAGAGAGCACCAGATGGCTAAAACAGGAGGTACCCAAACTGATCTGTTTACGTGTGGCAAGTGCAAAAAGAAGAACTGTACATACACCCAGGTGTGTGGTTATTCATTCTCTGTTTTCCTTTTTGAAAACTTAAGTCCTATATAAAGATTGTCAGAGAAAAAAAAATTGGAATCGTATAATGAACTTTCAACAAAATGCTGGCAAATTGTAAAATGTGAAGATAGCTGGATCTACTTAGTTGTGCTTATCTAAAGCAAGTTTGTTGTATTTATTTGCCAAAAATTTTATGGAGATCCAAGCTGAGTATCTATATTGACTGAAACCTGAGTTTCTTCGTGATGCTGAATTCTTAATAATTCTTATTACATCATATTTATAAGGGTTTTTCGTGGAGGAGAGATACTGTTTTTAGTGTGTGTAAGCTTATTTTTACAGAGGGACTAAATAGTAGAAAATTATATATACGTATATACTCGTGTATATTTTTATGTATATTTAATGTACCATTCGACTAACACTAGATCCTGATTTACAATCATTCCTACAGCCACAGAAAGAGTGTTTTAATTTGCTAAACAGTGTTTCAGGGAATGTAATTTCCATCATAGGATCAGCTGCGTTTATATTTTATATTGTTTATCAGATGCTTTAAATAGCAAGTTGTTTTTCAGTCGTGGGACTTTTAAGCCTTTGCGTCAGTAAATGTATGTGAAGCTGTACTGGTCATTATACTTTTAGTGCAGAATCTCTTCCTAGGAATATGTGCACAGTTTCAATGCAGAAATTGGTATTTTAGTGCTACTAGATCTCTCAAAATCTAAGTTTATAATGGCTTTATGGTGAGGCAAAAAGCCCAGTGTCAGTTGATACATAAAGTTAACTTGTATTTTTATGCAAATTTCTTTCCTTAATGTTAAACTTTGATTTAAACAGTTAGATTGAACACACACTAACAACAATTGAAGATACTAATTTTCCTTTTCTGCTCTGGCTCTTGTCTTTGCCAAAGGTTCAAACCCGCAGTGCTGATGAACCCATGACAACGTTTGTTGTCTGTAATGAATGTGGAAACAGATGGAAGGTAAGACTGTTAGACTGCTCTGCATATTTGATAGCAGGCAGCCAGCCTCTGTGGTTAATTTGGGTTTACAGTAAATGTGACAAACCACTTTCTGTTGACTTTTTGGGTCACTTCTTAACCAATTAATGATATTAAATACTGAGATTGCAAAATAGTTTTAAATCAGAAATGTGTTTTTGACTGAAGGTGTGAGATCTCTCAAGAAGCTTGGTGGCAAAAAGGGGGAAGAAGTCAGGATTTAGTCCTTGAGACATTTAATTACAATATTGCTTTGCCAAACGAAGTGGTGACAAGCTGGTCACTGTGTTTTCTCTTTCTTCACCCAAAGTTCTTTTAATCTCTGCTTTGTTGAGGGTAACAGGCCTTTTTTAGACCTTTTGTTGTTATTGTTTTTTCTGGTTTTTTTTTTAATTCTGAAAAGAAGAAGCAATAAAAAAGAGAGATGGCTGATGCTGTATTCCTGTGCCAGGATAAGTGTAGGGCAGTGATAAATTGATTGAATCTTTTTTTTTAAGTTTGGGAAACAGGAATTTATAAAGCTTCTGAGAAACACTGGTAGCTCAATAAAACTGAGACATATTGAAATGAAGGCTTGTAAAATTTTCAGTTTAAGGTGAGATCACATGCCACAGGAAGCATGATAACCTTATTCTGTTATTTGTCCTATGTTAAGAATGCTGCAGCTCTGCAGGGCCATGCCACAATATACATTAAGACTGTCACATAAAAAATATTTTATGCATCTTGGTTTACATAGCTTATTGCTAAATATTGTTCAAATACAGGCTCCAAGATAGCTAAATAATATATAAAGCGTAGAAATCGTTTGATGGAATTGTTTGCAGTACCTGAAAAAGTATATTTGTCCTTAAAACCTTGTGTAAGGTAGCAGTTACAGAAGTATCTGTATACAGTTGCCTGAAGGAAATGGTTAAAATATAAGCAAGTGCTTTAATTAGTAATATCCATATCCTAAGTATGGTGTTGTATTTCTGTTTCTTCTTGCAGAGATTTAGAGCTAAGATGTATTAAGATCTCATAAAACATTCTTTTCTTTTGACAGTTCTGTTAGAAGAAGAAATTGTCAAGACATCTGGACCAGTATGAACGAGGATTTTGTAATTAGCTTTAAAAACTAGGCTAAGCATCTAGCTTCCTGCAAATGAGAGGGGGTTTTGGTTTTTCTTTTCTTTTTATTTCAAAGCAGCATACATGCCTCAAGTTAGCCTTTGTTTTGACACAACCATCATTTCCTTAAATGCCTTCCTATAGCTGGTAGTCAATAGGGCCAGGTTGCTCAATTGTATGGTGAATTTTAAAATATTTTTTCATTTTTATAAGTAAGTTGACATTAAACTTTTACCAGTTAAACATTTTGGTAATTGTCTTGGTTTTTTTCTAACAATGTGAATAATGTACTGTATTTTTTGTGGTCTGAAATATACACGCTCCTCCTGTGGGTATTTTGCCTCTCCACATTTGCTCGGTTGTAAGAATGAAATTTGTTTCTCTCTGCTCTGTTCACTTTGCTTTGCAAGCAGGAAAAGTATATAAGTTCTTCATGACATTAAACTCAGTTGTTAACTAAAACACAATTTAATTAACTCTCTAGTTTGTATGTGGTCTTTCTGGACTAGGACTAAATTTGCAGTCATGGGGTTTGAATATTTATTACTGGATATCATGACCTCTTTTGCAATGGTTGGTTAAGCTTGTTTATGTAACCAGCTTTGATCAATGCAATATATTTTATTGCCCAAAGCATGTATTTTAGCAGGCATTATTTCTAAGAATGTCTTAAAATAGTGGTTAAATCTGATTTGAGTGTTCAGTCTTGCTTAATGTGCTTGACAGCCAGCTTGGGTTTAGACTTTGTAAATAAGCAAAGGCATTGTGTAGTAGGCTATCCCAATAACACCAGCTAACCAATTTATTACATTAAACTGGCTGGGGAGGTGATACTATACTCCCTTCATTTAAATGGCATTGATTTTGTTCATGAAACAATTTTTGAGATGTAGAGTATCCGGTGTCAATCATAGACCTGCAAGTAGGAATAAATTATTAAAGATATGATCTTTTCCACATGAGAAATTATATAAATGCTGCTTTTTAAAAGTTTGCTTTTAAATAGTGCATGTTTAGAAATATTTGCAAATGTGTTTTCAAGGAAAAACATGTCAATATCTTTGGAAGAGATTAAATTCTTTCATTATATCTAATTTTATATTACTTAATTTGTTATTGAATAATAAAGTACTGGAGTTGTCTTCCCAGGGAGGTGGTAGAATCACCATCTCTGGATGTGTTTAAAGAAAGACTGGACATGGCACTTGGTGTTATAGTCTAGTTGAGGTGTTAGGGCATAGGTTGGACTTGATAATCTTAGAGGTCTCTTCCAACCTCATTATTCTGTGATTCTGTTAAAGCTTGGAGCTGAGGAGGTCTATTTTGTCACTGTATAAATTATTCATGAGGGGGTGGGAAGAGTATACACAGCTCCTGGAAAATAAATTCCTTGAATGTAAAGGAAAAACAAGTTTTTCCATGTTGAATGTTTTTTGTGTGATAGTGGCAACCGTAACAAATGAGTTAGAAATAGTATGATGACACTTGAACTTTGGGAGACAAGAACTGTTTGGTTAATACTTGATAGAGCAAGCTTTTCCAGTCAGCTTATGCAAGGAAGCATGGCTTTTCTGCTGAAGGAAAAAAAATTAAAATAGAAGAAGTTTTGTTACATACTATTTTTTTAGGCAGAAAATTGCTTAGCATTAAAGTTTCTTGCATAGCATTTTTTATATATACATTTTAACTCAACTTCTACTAATGCCCTTTAGAGAACATTTTTTTCTATTAGCAGCATGGGTTAATTTTTACCCTGTGTGTAGGTCCATTGGCAGGATTGCTTCCTTAGAGTTACTAAAAGACGTATAAATTTTTTTTCAAGTTGCTGAGGACAACAAACCAATTACAGATGTTTACTATCATTTAGTGTTTTGTTTGGGGACCTTTCTAAAAGAACAAGTCCAAAAAATAGTGTTAAAAATGACAATGAATTGGATGCCAAGTAGACCTAAATTTCCACAGCTGTTCACAGCATATCTATACAGGAGAGGCAGTGGTTGGTTTGCATGACCTTTCTTACACTGTGTGTCCTTTAATCTTTGTGTCTGATTGTGACACTTAGAATAAATACCTTTTGAGAAAATGTAGTAATTGTCTTTCTGTAGTCACCAGATTATATCTGGACTTTATTGAAAGAACAAGAGCTGTGGTAGCACTTTCTGTGATGCAGGTGTATCCAAGCAGGAGTTGAAATAAAATGTGATGCACCTGATGATACCTGAGCATCAGCCTTCATCCTTCTCTCTTTGGCCCCCATGATAAAAAGAACTGCTTCTTTTGCCCAGTGAGAGATGGAGTGCAACAACTAGATCCAAAAATGCATCAGTTCTATTCATGCTTTATTTTGGTTACCCAAATCAAAAAATAAAACTTTCCAGTACTGATCTTTGGATGGACCTCTGTTCAAAAGTTGCTGCAGTTTTCCCAGCTGTCTGAAGTTGCCCTCCTGTATCAAAGGTGGGGCTGGGACTGTCTCATTTCTCCAGCTGGCTGACTTGTCTACTGGGCTGCAGTTGTGCAATGACTGACCCAGAACACTGGGGTATTTCATGCACTGAAATGTGCCAGCAGAACTGGTGATGAATCTCTCCCATCTAAGAATAGCAGGTTTGGTTACTACCTTTATGGACACTCAGATGGAACAGAGTTGTCCTACAATTTAAGGTAGCTTGTACAAAATTCTAATAGAGAGATAGAGGAGGCCACATTCCTTTTAAAGGTGTGTGTGTGTTTTTTAAGGATCCAGTCTTCTGTAAGCAAGGCTAGAGGATCCTCCTGCTCAGAAAACACAACTTCTGGATCCTTCATTAGAAGACATTTTCTCATATATAATACATTTGCTCATATTGTAATTGCTCATTCAGGAGAAAGTATGAGTTTTAAAGTATCTTGTACTGAATGGTTCTTTTTTACTATCACTAAGCAGAAGGGAAATATCTGCCCAGTGATCTTGGCTTTTGTGAATCCAGGGAAGAGGCTGGTTTTTATCCAGAGTTCAGGATTCCACTTGTGATTACATAAATTAATTTTAAATTAAAACTCACAATTCTTACCAGCCTAGACAGGACTTAATTCATCAACATGAAGTCTTCACTCTGTAAAATGTGGTTGTATTATCTTTCAAACAAATGCCTCTGGAAATGGATCTTGGAATATTAGTCATTCATATAAACAAACCTGAGGAGTTTTACTTCAAGCACAGTTTTATACAGCTGTACATTAGCTTCTGTTTCACTAGATCATCACTACTCTTGAATTCTTTTACCATTTCAAAAAGTTTGGGATTAATTTAATTACAACATTAGTATAAAAATTGTTCATAATGTCATTGAAACATAACTCATATCTTATGGCAGAAGACACATGTTGTTAAGAACTGCTTACAGCAAAGTTGTTTACAAATTACTTAATGCTGTGATATGATAGCCATTCTCATCACTTTATCTTTTTTTCTGATATCCTTTGTAATCAGAAACTGCATAAGTACATAATTTTGTATGATGAATTTTAATCTAAGTTTATAAGGTAGAGCCCTTCAGAATTTATATATTTTTTTTCTCCATTTGTACGGTGCTAATGACTGTGGAATTTAAAGGTCAACGTACAGCACAATATGTTGGCTGAAGGAGCCCATGCAATTTTAATAGTGTTTAGCAGGCTGGTGAAAAGAGCAGTCTTTAACAGTATGCATGTTCTGTGGGAGTTACTGCTTTATGAAGTGCAGACATTGAAGGAAGAATGCCAGTGGACTGGAAAGTTGTTACAGCTTAATGATATCCTGCAGTTCGATAAATGCCAAGGCAAACCAACCGTGCTCATTTTCAACCTAGGATAAATTGATTTTGTGATAATTTCTTACATGATTAAATAATGTCTTATGTCAATATGATTTTCTCTTGCTGTTCATGTAACAGCTTGTCTATGGAAACTTTTCCATTTCAGTGAACTTTTCTTTTGCCCTGAGAAGTTTATGCACCATGAGCAGGTATATAGCAATGAAATGTAATTAAAAATTTGTTGTCTGTGGGTGGGTTTTTGTTTTCACCTTCCCCCTCCCCGCCTCCTTACCTCCATGCCATCAATTAAATCCAGCATTAACCAATTTCAAAATAACAAGATATTTAAAGGAGTGGGTTGTTTGGGTTTTTAGGAGATATTCTCAGGATATCTAGGGATTAGCATCCCGCCACTGGTGGTGGGTATAAGCTTAAACCTAAAGCACAGCATTAAGATTTGGTAAGATATTTCAGGAAAGAATGCACATTGCAAATATCAACATATTGTAATGCAGAAGTAATATGAAAATTGCCTAGAGAATCTTAATTGCTTAGAAGTTGTGGCACATAGAAAATACGCTTAGAAATTATTACTTTCTTTTTTTAATAATTTAATGTTAACCATAAGACTGCCCAAACCAATTTAGTTTTCTCTACCCTCTGACTTCACTGCATCTTTTTTCTTTCTTTTTCTTAATAATAATAGTATATAGAATAACAGAATATATTGTTTGATATGGACTATGAGCGTTCAGTCTGTCTTTCAGTTTTTAATGAAGTATCTTTGAAGGGAAGAGAGATAACTTAAAAGAAATTAAATCCTCCATTTTGTGAGGTGACATGCTTTGAAGTTTTGTTTTGATGTGTGCATATGATCTTTCCAAAAAGCTGAATTGACCTAGGTAAACTTTGTTAACTTAGAGGTTTAGAGCACTCCCACCCACTCTGATTAAAACAAATACAGTATCGTCTGTTTGACTGCAATGAGTGCTGTCTTTTGAAGATACCTAGTTTGTTTTGTTGAAGTTACTACATACATTGTAATATTTCACATAAACTGAAATTGTATTGGTAGTGCTTTGGGTGTGTTAAATAGAAATTCAGCTGAGGTCAGAAGCATTGATAGGGTAAGCAGTGGCAAACACCAACTGAACTGTGTCTTTAGTGGCATATGGAAGAGTTTCCTCTTAACTTAGTCACTAGCACTGTGCTACAGCAGGCAAAAGCACTTTGCTTTGCTCTCTCTTTTTTTTTGTTTACTTTTTTGTGCTGACATGTTGAAGAGCGTTTTGTTGTTGGAAGGAGATGAAGACTGGTCATAGAATCATAAATTATTTGGGTTGGAAGGTACCTTAATCTAGTCGCAGTCCCACTGGCAGGAACACATTCCATTAGGCCAGGTTGCTCAGTGCCCCATCCAGCCTGGCTTGAAGCAGCCCATAGCATTGATGAATTACCATGTACCAGCTCTTCTCTGATGCTATGTACTGGAAAAATCAAATCATTATGTGCTTCAAAATGCAAATGCAGTAAGGGCATAACATCTACTGCCAAGTGCACTGAGGAAACAATTAAATTGATCCTTAAATTCTGTTTTGTTCTTCCCATTTCATTTTTTTTTTTAGAGAAAGTTCCCATTCTGTATTTTCCATACTGCTTGAATTAGGCAAAGAGTAGGTTTTGGAAAGGCTACAGTACACTCACTGAACTATGTATGTCTGGTTCTCCTTTCCAGGCGTATTTTTTGTGTCTTTCTCATATGTCTTTTTCCAACCTATATGTGTCATTTGGCTCATTTAAATAAATACCCAGGAAAAAAATACAATTCAGTGGAAATCCACTATAAACTCCAGAGTTTAATGTAGTGGAATTGTAGTGAATCTTGTAATTTAAAAGAAAGAAGACATTAGAGTAACAGATCTACAGATAGTTTATGTTGATTCCACTTAATGTTTTCCTAGTATTTCCCATGATTACTGTAAATGAACATGGTTTATAACTGGAGAGAGCTGGTGCTGTTGGACAGTCTGAAATAGCATCAGAACACAAGTTCCATCTTCCTGTTTTTATTAAGTAAATTGTGTGTATATCTGTAATGGAAACCTTACAAGATCTGTCAGGGAATGGGAGAATTTTGTATTTACAAACCCAAGCTGGTTGAAACTGTCATCCTCTTGGGAGCAAATAGTGAAGGGTTTTACAAACACCTACTGAGGGAAGAGAAAAAATGTGAGAATTCTTGTGCTTTATTTTGGAATTTCAATGCCCAGACTTTTCTTCCTCTGAAATATATTATTTAACTTTATGAACATTAAAGGGAACGTAATGCTTTCAGCAGATTCTAATACTAAAATAACAATTCTTCAGCAAAAGATTTTTTTTTAATAATCAAATTATTTCAACCAGTAACTTTCATAAACTTGAGATTACCATGCCAATTTCCATTAGTGCACTGTGTATGCATTAAATACACCAAAACAAGTGGAGTGTACCTATGCCAGCTATGATGGCACTGTCTAAAGTAACACAGTATTGACAGTAATATTTTTACTTTGGTCACAGTGTGGATGGGGCAACTGGTTTGGTTTTCAAGAAAATTCTAACACTCCACTTAAAAATCAGTTTTAGTTTCGTGCTTAGTTAGTATTTGTACCTCAGACATAAGTTGGGATAACTTTGTGTCTGAATTGTCTGCTGTGTTTGAAAAAATAGTGCATTTATTGAACAACGTTTCTTCTTCATTCTCTTCATTTCCTTTTGGAAAGTAATACTGAATTTAATCAGAAACTGTACTTAGCTGATTGTGGCAGAGCTTTGTGAGGATTTAAATTATCCAGTCTGTAGTAAAACTTGCCTGAGTTATTTTCAGGTAAATATCTGATTAATTCTAATTTCCCTGTGGATTTTTGTAGCCCAGAGTCCTGTCTGTTTTAAAACAAATACATTTAAGAAAAAATTCTACGCTTCAATGGATTTTTCAGACAAGGACTGAAGCAAGTCCTTATAAATAGCAGAGTTCATAAACCGTGGGTAAGAGTCTCTGTGCATTAAGGTATAAATTTGAAGCTGTGCATCATCAAAGGTGTGTTGTGAGGGTTCCAGCATATTTCGGTTAATAACTTCTCGTACTCTGGAGTCCAGACTGACCTGCGTATTAAAATAGAAAGTCATGTAAATAATTCTGGTGAATAGTACAGGTAGGGTCTTAGTTTTATTTCATTGGTTGAAAATGCCATTTTTTTAAAGCATTTCAGCTGGTGTCCTCCAAGACTGTAAAAATTGCTAAATAAACTTATGCAAAAAATGATTCTGTCAAAATTTGAATGGAATAATATCTTGAGTATAGGTACTGTCCTCACTGAGGTACCTTATTTGAACTAGGCTGTCTGCAATCCCATTATTACTGAGACCGATGGGTTATTTCCAGACCAACTTCCTGCTCTGTAGTAGAGAGCATTTATAATTTTTTGTGACAGTTCATTTCCTGGAGAGTTAGTGCTGTTGTAAAGAGACTGAGTTTGGAGTAAGAGTATGACGCAGGTGGACAATGTAACATGGGAAGCTGTTTCTTAATCAAATTGCTGTTAAAAAGCAGAGTTGACGTGAACCACAGGTAGGGCTATATAATGATTCCATACAACGGTGTAATTTTTTTCTTTTTTCTGCAAGTCTCTAGTGCCTGTAGAGAGACAGTAGTGTTGCAGGAACAGACTGTGTAGATTTAAAGCAGCATTTTTTAAAGTACATACTTACAGCTGGCACCAAAAAAAAATTAAATTGCAATTTTGCAAGGATGTTGAAAAGTTTAAAATTCTAGCCTGCTTGGCAGGATTGTATTCAAACTGTCTTCAAGGTGTCTTAGAAACTTGACATATTTGCTAACAGCAAAGTGACAAGTGGTTTAGAAACTTTTGGGGAAGTTATTGTGTTTGTTCTATGCCATATTTTGTCAGCTGCTCTTTGAGAAATTTGTACTTTGAAAATAACACTTTACCTGTGGTTACTGTGCTTTTGGAGAAATGTATACACCTTTTTCCAAGTGGAACGAGAAAAGGAATTGATTTGTCCAACAAATGAAAATTGAGCAGGGCAAGGATAATGTGATCAGCCATATATTTGTGCCTCAAACTAAAAATTCCACATCATACCAGGGTAGCACAGGAAAAGCTTCCTTACAACCAGTGAAAGTAGTTCAATGGTGGGTGCTTTCTTCCCCTAAATGGGAAGAAATTCCACTTGATGGCAGTGGAATGTAGGGGGTGGGTGAAGTTCTCCCTGAGTATTGCTGTAGCTTTAAACACATGTTAGAACTAACTGTGCAAAGAAACATCAAAGAATGTATTAGGGAAAGCAATATACCTCTTTTGGAGAAAGGATAGAAATATAATCTTCATAAATTAGTCTTGCTTTTTCTTCAATGATGCTTTTGTTGGATTCTTGTTTTAGTTCCTCACAGGCCATCCAGAAAAGCATGTTTTCCTCGCTGAATTCTGTTCGCAGAAATTCACGAAAAGCATTTCTGCCAGCTGGAGTAAGCATCAACTTGTCAAATGATTGAGCCCAGGCATTTACTTCTTCGAGAGTGGGAGCAGGGCTTAACGAGGAAGAAGAGTAAAAGGAGAGAAATGAGTGATTGTTAGTCGAGCTGTTTGCAGCTGGCAGGAGGCATCTGCCATCACAATGGAACAAAATTGTAAGGTTCATGGGGTTATGATTCCTCACTGGAACTACCCAAGTGCAAACTTGTGTAAACATATTTATAAGATGTTTTTTGAAAGTGTGCTTATCAAAAGCTCTGATGCAGGTGATTGCCTTTGCTTTGATGCAGAAATTGAAGTTTACTGCTCAGAGTAATTGCAACAAAGAAGTACCCGTGAAACAGCTATACATTTTTTCTATCCCTAATATTCCTTGTTAAATTATGGTTAAAAATTGAACAAAAATACATATAAAGAAGCAATGCTTCAAACCCTTTGAAAGGTACCCACCTGTATGTTACCATTTTGTAGGTGCTTTTACCTGTCTGAGCATTTCTGAAGAAACTATTGCCAGACTTTTGGGAGGATTTAAGCTCCAGTTTATTATTTTTGTAAGGCTGAACACTGCCGGTTAAGCTCATTGCATACTTGCTGGGTGGGAACAGGGTGTATTTTTAAATTATTTCAGGAAAAAGGGAGACAGTTTACAATGATGGTTTTAATTTGTCATGGGAGTGGGGATGTTCTTATGTGCTGCATATAAATGAAGGAAGATATTATAGATCAGACCTTTGGTTCATTAGAAGATAAAAAAACAAATGACTTGCAAATTGGGTGTAAATGACAAGCAGATAATAGTTATTTTCATATTTCAGGTAAACCATTGTAATTTCTTTGTATGGTTTGTTGGGTATGTTTCATTTTAGCTTGGCAGAACACTTAATAAAGATTATACCTTTCCTCACAGTTTGGAATACCCTCTGCTTGGAGTTCATGAGATGTTCTCCTTGCTCTCTCTTCTTCTTGATTTCTAACAGTAAGACTGCAAAGTAGCAAGCAAAGTTTTAGTAAACTTTATAGAGAAAAAGGCTGAATATGCACCAGATACTTTTCCTTCTATACTCAAAAAATAATTCTAAAAGGACAGAAGCTAATGATAGACATATTACCCACAGTTACATTCTCACCTTATTTTTGTATAAACCTTAAAGTTGTATAAACCTTAAGTGTAGCCGAATGCTGTTTAATATTCTATAATAAAGATTTTTTACAGAAGGAGCATAGTTCCATAAAATATCTCAAGTTGAAGGGACCTATAAGAATTTTCAGGTCCAATTCTATATATACACACACATAAGTGTGTATGGAATGTATATGTATACATGCATACCCTTTGTCACACACCAAATTCATTCTTCATTGGTTTTTGTACTGTGTATGTTCAGTGCAATGCTTTTACTTACCTGATGCACTGGTTTTATGTGAGTTAGGTTTCAAGGCAGGTGGGTTTGGATTTGTTTGCATTTTTTTTCTCAACTGATGAGGGCCAAGGCTCTGGTTTGGACTGGTGATACCATGTCACAGGAAAGCCAGAGTTCAGAAGCAGGACACAAGATTTAAGTGAGCTAAAGACTTCTGTATGTGCTGTTGGAAGGGTAAGCAGCTTTCAGAGTTCAGATGTAGATGGAGCCAGATTGTGTGGTGATTGATTGCATCTTAGAAAATTGCTAATATATGCATCAAAATGTGAGGTCTGGAGCACAAAGAGCAGATCTATCATTGCTGAATATCATTTTGAGTATGTCTGAATAGTAAGACCTATTTGTAGCATTACAAAAACAAAATTTGCTGCAATCACTAGTGATCACTGACTGTTTTTTGTGTCCTGTGGAAGGGTAGCTGTGAACTCCTGCTTCTTTCATTAAATGTTAAGATAGCTCTAGTTTAAAAAAATTTCTTTTGTAGTTGTAGATGATTAATTTTCATTTGAAACTGGATTTAAAAATATAAATACTTTTTTTTGGGAGTGGGGACTACATTCCAGTTCATCCAGGCTATAGTAGTTTAGTGAGAAATGCATGTGCATACACACATGCTGTCATATAATCTGTAAAGCTGCTTAAAATATGTCATATTTTAAGCCATATTTTATATTGACTGTTATTTATATGAAACAGGCCCTCCAGCCTAAACAAGGCAACACAGTTGCTATAACTTCTAGGGAAATACCAAACTTAATTTCTTCATTTGTATCTTACCTTTCTTTCATGCTAATGTTCTAAGTTTTGCTGCCTTAATGCCTAAGAATCTCATTTATCTCTAGGAAGGTTTTTTGTTAAACCAGTGGATTTTTCTGACTGTTTTGCATTCTATACTCTCAGCCAGGTCTTATTTGCTGCCTTATTATTTACTGGGCATCTCCTTCTCCATCTTTGTATACTGTTAGTCAATATTCTGCAGACACTTGCTTTTCTCTTTGCCACAGCAGTCCATGTGTTGAAGACATAGGAAAGCTTTTGTATAACTAAGATGGAGAGCAAATACTGCAAACACTTTTTTTTTCAGCAATATCTGAACCATATGTTCAAACCAATGAACTCTCTCAACTTACCTTTTCAGAAAAAAAGAGAAATAAGTAAGTAGTAATGCTAGTTCTTTTTTCTCTTAGGTTATATGGGTCTAAAGCCTTTACTACCCTTTTTACCAGTGGTTCTGGCCTTTTTTGAATATGTAAAGTTATATGTATTCCTCACACACAGACAGGAAGTGATACTCTTGTTAGAGCTATTTTTGGATTGAGGGCATCCAACAGAATAGAAGGGAATAGTCTTCAAAGGATAATGCACAGAAAAGGAAAAAGACCAAAGAAATAACAAAAGCTTCCCTAAGAGAACATGCTTCGGAAAATTACTTTCAGGCAGGCTCTTTCCCTAGAAATGTACAAGTAAACAATGAAGAGACTAGTGCAATACTGTATCCTCTCAGGATCTGGAAGAGTAACAGGCTGGAGGCCTGTGTTTGACTGTAGGAATGAACACAGGCTCTGAGCATCCAGCTGGGAGACTCATTTCAGTTCATTCTGAATCTACTATTAAGAATATGCTGAATATTGGATGTTCAGCAGCTCAGCAGCATGACTCATGGAGACTGTTATTTTTATTCCTATTCATAATCTTTCTGTTCCAAGAGCTTAGGCTATTTTGAGGAAATGGTCTATGAATGGGGAACATAAATAGCTTAATTTTGGTTGTTTTGCATTTCTTGCTACTAGAAAACAATTGTTGAAAAAAAATCAGAAATTATTTTAAAGCCGAAACAAGCTACTCTGTTTCTGAGACTGTATTGGTTTCCCAGATGATTCTGAAATGCAAATAGGAATTTTAAGCATCCTGAAATTTGGGTACTTTCACAAACCCTATTGAGTAAATTGCTTTCTTTGAATTGTTTGAATAGTGAGATACACAGAAAATGAGCATCCTGGAAAAGGTAAAATGACAAAAAAACCCCACTTTATCAACAATTTAAAAGGTAAAATGCAAATTTTCTATACCATGACATACTATGTCAGATAAATGTGTATTATTTTTTCCTTTAATGGAAAACCATTTTTGAGTAATGCAGCTCTGGACTGAGCCACTTGCAATTGCACTGGACAGCTGTTGAAATGGCATTGGAATTTGTATGGCATACTTTAATATTGATGCAGTAGGTAGCAAACAGACCCTGTACAGGCAGAGTGTTAATGTCTCTCTAAATTCTACCTTAGTTTACCTCTAAGCATCTGCTGAGCAACTTGGTAGGATCAGAGCCAGAGTTCTTGGTATCTTACGAAAAAACCCAAACCTCCAAGCAGCATTTTGTCCTTGCAAAACATTTACTATTTGCATGAAGGAGGGCAGAATCTTGTGTTTCTTGGCTTCTGATAAGCTGAGTACCAATAGCAAGGAAATGATCAGTCTGCTCTTCCCTTGCCTTCTAATGGTGTTCTCCAAAGCATTTGCCAGAAGGTGCTGTTGGAAAACAGCATTAGTGGAATATATTGCTAGCCCAGGCTGTAAGGTTATTTATGACCACTTCCCATCACCTCAGTGCCAGGTTTGCTTGCTCTGAGTATTTATGTGGTGGATAGTGAATTTCTAAGAAGCATTCTACTTGCTGCCAGTGTTTTGGCTGAACTCTATGGCTGTTTAAGATTTTTTTGTTTATTTGAATTCAAGTTCTGCTCTCACCCATTAAGTAGTACTTTGCCCTCAACAGATACAGGGCTTTTGAGTATGGGAAGATTTATTTCAGTTTAGAATGAAATCACTTGGATCTGGAGGAGCTGGTACAAAAGTGAAGGTGAACACATTGTTAATTTAAGGAATCAAGTGATTCCTTCTCTTTTGCTTTGACTGATAAATTTTCTTCCTTAACATGAGTGGAACTTTTGTAAAGGGAGTTTTTCTGAATTTTTTTCTGCTTAGGTCCTCACCCTCAGCAAATACCCACAATGTTTAAAGTTTATGGTCCCAGTGATTATCTTCATATGAGTTGCAGGTGCCATGAGTTGCAATACTAATTAATGACAACAGATCCAGTTACCTTCAGGGGAAAAGAAGTGTGCTGGGCACCTGCTAATTCATTTTCTGACCTACAAATTCTTCCACTTTCTCCTAACTCCATTTAACACCTTTGGTGCTGCTTGTCAAGGCCTAAATCTAAAAATAAAGATCTGACATATTCTGGTATTGCTTTCAGTTTTTAGAGGGAGCCTTAGTGAAGCTCGGTGCTGAGAAGACCCTGTCCAGCACAAAACAGACATTGCACAGTATTGAGAAAAAAAGAGCAATAGAGATACTATACAGATATTTCTTCTAAAATCTGTTGTTTCAATGGCAGGGGACAGAGTAGAGGGTTGTGTCTAGTAGTAGAGCACAGCTATCTCTTTGTGTCCCAGATCTGCAGAATTATACAAGTATTTTCTTCGCTTTATGTTGTCCTGTCCTGTCCTGTCTCTTTCCTGCTATTCTGTTCCCTAGAGGCTTGAATGAGAGGGGTTACCATGAGCAGCTGCAGCAACAGCACCAACAAAAGCAGCAGGCATTGGACCCTCGATTTCCTGTGCTGAGCTGAGCCTGTGCAGCACCTGGGGTCTCTGGGGTCGTAGCCATCTGCCGTTTGCGTATCTCCGTCCTCTCCGATCCCATGGGCTGCAAGCAACAAAGGAGGGGGGAAGTAAGAAACATCTCTCTTTTTTCCTTTTTTATTTGCTTTAAAAGTCTTACCCAGAAGGCCACAGCCTCAAGGGAACTGAAAAGCTTAAATCGTTGATTTTCCCCCATGGAAGTTCTAAGGAGTTGAATCCTATGGAAGACACTCATATAAGTGCTGGGATGGAAGGCAAAGGGCTAATGAATTCTTCACGTGCATGGGAATACAATGACAAGGGAGTGGTGAGGCAGAGAACAAAAGGTATAAGTGAGGGGTCTTGGAGAGCCAGAGCTCTTGGCACAGAGGTGTATCAGCCTAGGAGTTGAAAAGGGTTTCCTGAGGTTTTGACTTCAAGGCCATCCTAAGGAAAATGGTACAGAATATAAGTATTTAGGGCCTATTTTTTTTCTTTTTTTTTCCTTTCTTTCACTTGATTAGCCAATGCACAGGCTTCAGGATGCTTGAGTGAGACACTGAGCTCTCCTGAAAATCTGGCCTTTGGTGAATATTGAGGATGTCTCAAACCTGCTGGTTCCCTTTGTAGCAATGGGGGAAGGGCCAATGCTCATTTCTCCATTGAAGGTCTGACTGCCACAGTCTTTAAAAACTGTTTTCTCTGTGCTTCTGTGAAGGCGAGGAGGAAACACAAAACTAGATAACAATTACATGGTTTTCATTGAGCCCCCCCAACTGAAGACAGCATGAAACAATTTTTGGTGGATGCACTGGTTGGTTTTTTTGCAGAGTTGCACAGTTGTACAAAGCCTTTTTGGAGACCACATTTTGCAGAGTGTGCAGATAAGTGGTGTTGATGAAATGACAAGTCCCCTTGAAGTCCCTGTTCATTTCTGACCTATCTGTGAGCTTCACATTTGCTCTACAGCACTTAATAGTGCTCTCTCTGTTATGCTGAAAGTTGTGCCATATGTAAGTGACAGATGTCTTTGAGAGATGAAATGGTAGCTTGTACAAAGATGAGTATATCTTTCTTCATTTTATTTGTATTTGATTTTTGGATACATAGCTAATCATCCTCCTGTGTCACGAGATCCCTTTGTGTAGGCTTGTTTCAGGTTGCTAAATCTTCTTTTGAGGCCATGACAATTGTAGGGGAATTAAAATTATCTGCTACCAATTTTGAGGGTTTTTTTAATCTATAATATCAGACTTGAATCTAATGAGATAAATACTTGGGGGTCAAAAGTTGCTTTCCTTTCTAAAGTGTTCATCCAGGTTTAAGAAATGCTATTGTTTTAACTTGAGGGGGAATGTACAGATGGTGTCATGGACTCAACAGAAGTGTCAGGAAAAGAAAGAATGTTGTTTTAGCAGAGTGCAGCATTACATTTTGCTGCACTTTGGCTACAGTGGTTTTTTTCCAATGTTGAATTTATTTTTGTCTTGTAGAGCTTAATAGGTTTTGTATTTGTGAGAACCACCCACTCTCCCAAGAGACGAATGCATGACACGGTAGTATAAGATGCACCTGTGTAGCAGGAGGAATAAAATACAAGAACAACAATATAGATAGAAATTACAACTCATTTTAAAATTCTGAAGGCCCAATCTGACAAGCAATGCCTAAATGACCAGAAATAGAAAATGAGAAAAAATAACAGCTTCCAACTGCCCCTCCCCAACCTTTCTTTTTTCAAAATGTGAAAGGATAACTGAAATGTAGAATGCATTTGTAGATTCCTATTTCTTCCTGTCAGCTTCAGATTCACATGAATGGAATGAATAAGTACTAATTTCCTTCCAGATACCTATACTTTTTTAAATGGAGCATTTTCACATTTCAATTAGAGAGTGATAGCATATGAAACATTTTTGGAAGGATCATATATCTAACAATATTTCAGGCTGCTTTGGACAGTAAACTATTATTATGGATTAGAAAAATGTGACTTGGATTCAGACATGTGCTGTTTATATAGCCTAATACATCCACTCTGAGATAATTTATGTTCACAGATTCATATGTCTAATTCATATTAATAATGAATTCCTCTGGGCTAAATATGATCCAGGGCCCATGTTATGGGATGGCAAGGTAGAGAGCTGAGCAGTGGTGCAGGTTATTACAGAGTTGTAGAAATTCCTTTGGTGCACATAGTGTTAAGTCACATAGGACAAAACCATGTCAGGCTGGTCAGGTACACAGAACAAGCAATGAGTGATCTATCTCAGTACTGTTTACCTAACTTCAGAAGAGCTTATTTATGTATGTAGGTATCTTTCTGCTGCTTCTAATATATCCAGAATTTCACTGTAGGACATGGAAGCTTTCCATCACACTTTGCTGCTTCTTGCTGCAACCACCAGAGCTGTGTAATGCGCCTTGCCAGGCAGTTGCTGGTTTGAGCTGTGCTACCCATGTGTGCAGGAATGGGTAGTAGATTTATCAATTAAACCAGTGAATATTATTTGTAGGAATTAACGAAATTCCTTGCTCTTTTAGAATACAGCCTCATTAGCAACAATTTAGGCAATTGCTTGATTGATTCATGGATCTATGGGAATTTAGGTGGTTATTATTTTGCCTTCAGTAGACTTCAGGTTCCTTCAGGGCAAAAAGGAGATGTTTTTAGACCTCATAGGTCTTCTATTCATGTAATTTTACAGTTGTTACTTCGGGACAGCAGATTTCCAGACCTCTCTGAAGGTGCTATGGGAATGAAAAAATCGTATGAGAACCTCCTGTACTGGATGTTCTCTGCACTTTGAGAACGGGAGTCTGCCTTCTCTGTCCCCACCATCTGGAGTAGCAATGTGCCTTGTTTGAAAATGGATTAGAGAAGAAAACACGGAGAATTAGAAAACTGGAGATGGACAGCTATCCTGTACATGTTTTCTGAGGAACCCAAAAATGCGTTTAGGCTACTGATGGAATGATGTAAGACACCTTTAACCAAAGGACTTCAACCCCTGCCTTCTCATGCTCTGTTTATACTAAAACTGGATATGGTTTCAGCCAATTTCTGAGTATAACACAAATAGTCAGTAGGGTCTAATTTTGCTAATATTGAGTCACTGTGAGGAATCAAATCCTTGAATGGGACAGTCAGTGTCTAGATGGCAAGAGGGGGTTCTGTTGCACAGGTCCTTATAGTGTGGTGTTGGCTGGATCTCATGAGGCTCTGGAACCTGCATTACTCCTCAGATCCTACATGTAGCTGTCATGTGCCTTGTGACTGCTCCAGCACACACATAATCAATTTCTGGTGATTGTCTGGAGGTACAAAATATCTTCTACCTCCCTAAATAGTGTATATGAATATATCCTGCATGATAATTTTTTGCATCTGCAGGAAGTTTCTTCTTGCTATGGACAAGTGACTGGCCACTTACAAGTCTCTGACTACCTGCAGTCTGTGCAGAACTGGGTTGATTTTGTAGCTTTGGAGTTTCTGAATATCCTCCACCTGGATATTAATGAGCACATTGGAACATAAAGAAACTTCTCCAGGCAGAGGGTCCTGCCTGGAGGAATCCACAGAACCACCCAAATTCCACCTGGAGAGTGCCAAGTACTCAAAAACTTAAATGAGAATGGGGAGTAGGTGTTGAGGTGATCAGATTGTCTCCAGTTGGTTCATTGTTTCAAGTCAATCTAATGCAGCATCTCTGCAGATGCCTAGGTGCAGAGTTTCTGGATCTCTCAAGGAAAGAGATGTCCATCTCTAGGTAACAATAACAACAAATTTAGTCCATTATAAAATTGTCCCTAAAGAGCAATGAAACAAAAATTGAGGAAAATTAATGGCACATGTTCTTGCTTCTTATCCTGCTAGATAATATCTATGAATCATATAAAAAAAGTATGGGCTGATATTACTGACTGCTAATAAGTAATTTAAAAAAATAGTCCAAGGATTTAGGCAAGCATCAGAGATGTTACTTTTGACAATAGTGGCAAAACCACTGTATGCCTTAAGAGTAATGCTGAAGTGGTGAGATAAGAATGTTTGTCATAACTTTTCCGCTCCAAAGCATACTTATCTGACATTCAGATTATGAAGCATTTCTCCATGTGACCTTATAAACACAAAGGAGTGTAAAGGTCAGGAGTGAAAATTATTTCCCTGGTTAAAAACACCTCAGGTGATATTTGGTTTAGTTGTAACATTTATAGTATTTGCTAATTTCTTAGCATAAAGGTGGGCTACCAAGAAAATAGCATTCCCAAAGGAAGAATATTTAAAATCTAAGCCACAAATGTCAATTTAAAAACCCAAATAAAACCTCAACCAAATAAAAAAAAAAAACAAAAAAAAAAAACAACAAGCCCTAAACCCAAGAATATGCAGGTCGTAGACAAAACTTTATACTTTTATCCCCACTTTATGCTAAAACACAATGACACCTTTTCAGCTCAGAGTGCAAAGATTCTATTACTTAAACTTAATTACTGAGACATAAGATTTTCTTCTTGGTTGTGGCAGCACATGGAATAAACCAGCACATTACAGTCAGGCAGGTGTGCAAGCCTTTAGCTTGTTCTCAGGGCTGATTTGCATGGCCACAGCATGTTGCTTTCCCAGTAACTCCACAGCCTGGGAAGCCCTGTGCTGGAACACTAGCTGACAGCCACTGGAGTGAGGGCACAGATATGGATCATATAGTCCAGTTACTTTTCAGTAAATACTCAGGCCTGGTAAAGCAATGAAAGCCACCTCTTGGTTTCTGCAAGCTTTAGGTGAGGTTATGTAGCTCTCACAGTTTCTGCTTTGACTTTGAATCCTCCCAGTAATGATAACCAGTAGGTTGGAAGAGATTCTGTTCTTATCTACTAATGTCATAAGAGGCTTGCAACTGGGGTCAAGTTCCAAATAAATCTCTAAATCTATTTTTTAACAATTCAGATATATTTGGGGCTGCAACAAACTCCCACTGAAGCTTGTGGCAGTTCACTGTCAGCTGAAATATGAACAGGAAACTTGATGCTCGTGCTTCTTCCTTTTCATTGACAAATGTGACAGGCAGGCTTTCTGCATCAAGCAGTGTGCTATTTTAGACAGAAAAGCATTCTAATATATGTTAATGAACTCGCCCACACATATGCACATGCTTTAGGCATAGTTGTCAGATTGCCCACTCAGTGGGTTAAGAGTAAGAGCTCCTCGAAAGTTATCTTGTATTATTGGAGATTTGGCATATTGTAGTGGGGTGGCTGAAATGGTTGAGAGTTTGTGACTGCAAGACAGAGAGTGGCAGCACATGGAATAAACCAGCTTTTTATGTCACTGCTGTGCCCAAGCCTGTTAAATGCTCAGTGGATAAAGTTGCAAGTGGAAGTGTTATCCTGTAACTAACAGCTCTGGGACACTTTCATGTTGAATGTCCAGAAACTGAGTACCTTTGCTTGTTTTACTTAATTTATTTTTCCAGAGGAGCAGCAGCTCAGAGGAGCCAAATTCATCTATCCAGCTTAAAGCATTGCTTTACATTCCAAAAGGAATGGCTAAGAGGGTATCACACCCACCTAGTAAGAGGATAATTATGCCTTGATCATATCACCTGTCACAGGTATTTTTCTACCAATGCCTTGGATGTCTTCTGCTCCTCCTTCTTTGGTATTCAGTTCTGCCCAGTTGGCCACCACAAGGCCACTCTCTGCAAAAACTTCCTGCACTAAAGTCTTTCTCTGAGTAAAATTTGACTTTCCTGTTAGAAACCTAGTTACCTGGGGCTTCAATGGGATTTTTGTGTGGGTTTTGTTTGTTTGTCTTTGTTTGTTTGCTTTTTAGAGAGATGCCCTATATCTGCTCTGGATAGAGAATTTCTTTAGTTTGGATTTTATCACAAGAGACTTCATTGAAAATGTTACTCTAACATGTAATAAGCAGGGTGACTGTCATTATTTCTCTTGTAATAAGGGAAAGGCATGAAAGAATTCTTTACCAGTTGCATAGAAAAAGCAACAAAAGCAATCTGTGGTTTCTGTCCAGCTGATTAAGTGGATGATATGACAGTGGGGCAGTATGAATGTAAGTGTGGATATAACTTCATCCTATGCTGAGTCCTTCACAAACTAGGTCACTGCAAACTGCAATTAAGTTAAATCAGTGTCAGAATATTTTCCTCTGCACAGCACAAGCTGTCAGCATCCCTTGCCTTGTCTTCCGTGGCAGCTGGGGTCAGCCTCAGTGGATGCATGTCAGTCACACTGACTGATCAACACTCTTAGTTAGAACAAAAAACCCCACAGACTTCTCCAGTGCTGGGATTTTTACCACTGCTTCAACCCTGCTTTTGCTGGCTCTGATGTCAGAGAAAGTACCTGCTCCTAGTTATTTTTATGCAGTCTGTTTTAAGAAACAATAACATTTAAAAAATCATTCCTCCTAACATTTTACAAACCTCTCTACTATGCAATGAATCTGATGCCTACAGCAGTTTACTCTGTTCACTCCCATTATCTCCTCCTGAGTGCTCGGTTGCATTGTGCTTAATTATGAATGGCCTCCAAAAAGCCTGTTTTACTGTACTATGAAGTGACTCACATCACACAGAAGCTCTGACAACTCGCACCGGGTACTGGAGGCACATGGCGCTGTATTAGTCAGTGACTCATTTCACATTGTACTCGGTGCTGAGATCTGACTCACATCGAGCTGTGTGAGGAGCTGACTGACATCGTACTGGTCTGAAAGCTGGTTTGAATCGGAATGACTCACCCTGGAGTGCATTAAGCAGTGATTCACACACTGTTTCCTATTGATTCCGATTGTCGCGATTCACTTCTGATTGTACTACGCTGGCATCTGGCTGCTCCGCAGGGCGGGCACTGTGATAGCAACCCTCTGCCTGGTGAGCACGGCTGTAGTGCCAGCCTGCAGTGTCAGCCAGGAGGAGTAGTACCGAAGTCAATTTAATGCTGAAGGAAGATCAGAATTTAGCTTAGCACACATTCACTTTGGCCATGACACTTTCTGGGCTTCTTTGCTTCACCTGGTTTCGACAAGTTTTGAAAACAGCAAGTGAGGAGTAATGAACCTCTAGCTAAGAATCCTCTTCTGAATGCCAGGAGATCTCCAGAGTACTTCCAGGACTTGCTGTGTCCTTTGTCCCTTAGTGACAAGAAGATGGGATGAATTTCTATAAGTGACTGAGTACTGATAGTTGCTTAAATGCTTCAAGTTCATTAACATGACCTGAGCTCCAAGAGACACAAGCACCCTACAGTCTGAAAACTCCTCCCTGGTACTTTAAGCTCAGTCCTCAGACATCACTACTCAGTCTGTTCTAAGCAACAGGTAGATGATGCTTCCATGATTAAGTATTTGGGACCCAGAGTAAAGACATCAAAGTAAGTATTGACTTGAGGAGTAGACAAAAAAAAATTAAAGGGGAAATAAAGTAACTGTTCTCTCAACTTTGAGCATTTTATAAAACACAGTGCTAGTTTTACATTCAGTTGGCTCTGAGTTTAGAGAGGCACTCCTAATTTTTACATGGTGTTCCTAATTTTAGGAAATGCAAGTAGGAATCTCCTAGTGGATAATGATTCTGGTGTTCTTTTTAGTTGAACTGGTGTTTATTGTTTCTGGTATTGTAATACAGCAGTGATGTAGCTACCTCCACAGCCCACAGCTCTGCAGAGCACTGGATTTGATGCTGACATTCTGTTTGTGCAACAGAAGTACAAGGAGACTCCTTACCATTACATCATAGCGACAAGTGCCACATGAAAAATTTTCATTTTACATTTTTCTACAGAAAAAAATGAAATAATGGAATGGTTGCATAAAGTAAATTACACCACAATTAAATTACTGTAGGTTCTTAGTGGAGTATACAAGGATAATCTTATTTAACTTTCTGTATTTGTGTCCAATTTTCGTTACCTGCTTTTTCTTACCTTACTGACATTACCTAATGACAGAGCTCAGGAAGAGCTCTTTCTCTCTAAGGATGCTTGATGAGGCAGGCTGGTACTGGAAGTCTCTCTACGGAAACACTCGCCTGTTGCTGCTTCTCTCTCTAACTTGGCAGGGGAGCTCCGGGCTCCGAGAACAGACACACCACGGGACCCCCTTCACTCTGGGGTGGGGGCACGGATGCTGCCTCATCTTCGTGAGACGAGGCGGAGGGGTCCCGAGCGTGTGGCGGGGGCCGAGCCGAGGTGTTACCTGCGCCGGGCCACGGAGGTGGCGCGGCCCGGGGTGTGATCCTGCCCCAGGGAGGAATCCTGACCCCGCTCCCGGAGCCGAGGTCAGAGCTCGGGTACCCGAGCTCTGCGCTGGGAGCCCCTGGGGAAGGACGTGGCGGTGAGAGCCTGAGCGCCGGGTGCTCCCGGCTTGCAGCTCCCGACCCTCCGGGAGACCGGGGGAAACGCCTTTTGCGCCGAGTCCCTGCCATTCCTCCCGGGGAAGGCGGCCACAGCCGCTGTCCTGCCCCGGCCGCGGGGGCCACCGCCGGCAGAGCAGCCCGTCCAGTCCCGTCCCGTCCCGTCCCGTCCCGTCCCGTCCCGTCCCGTCCCGTCCCGTCCCGTCCCGCTGCACCCGGGGCGGCTCCAGCGGCGGCGCGGGGGTCGCGGCTACCGGCGACGAGCCCGCGCCTGCCCGGAGCTCGGGATGCCGTGCCCGGCTGCCGCCGAGCGGGACCCAGCGCTACTTACGGTGTCGGCAGCGGGGCCCGGCCGGGCGTCCTCCCACGCTTCCCCTCCGGTCCCGGCGGGCCGGGCGACCGGGAACGGCGGCTCGCCAGACCCACGCATGCGCCCGGCCCCCGCGGGCTCGTCTCGGTGCGGCCGCGGGTGGGTCCGCTCGCCGTGGCTGGGGCCGGAGGGAGCGAGGCCGGCAGCCCGCGCTCCCCGCCCCGGCACGGCCCGACGGGGTGGGCTGCCGCCGGTCGCCCCTGGCGAGGCGAACACCGGGGGCTGCTACGGCTCAGGGCCGGTTTGCAACGGGATTAAACACAGCAGCGCCCGCACCGCGGCGGCGGACTGGGGAGGGCGCGGGGGAAGCCATGGGACAGACGCCGCAGGGAGAAACACCGGAGAGACCGGCGTGAGAGCGTGAGCGGAGAGTGTGTGTGTGTATGTGTATGTGTGTGTGTGTGTGTGAGCGCTGATGGGAGAGAGTGGGAAGGGCTTGGAGAGGCGGCGGTGCCGCCGTGGGGCTCGTGGTGCTTCAGGGCTCACAGACGCCTTAGAGGAGAGCCGGGTTTGTCAACCTGGCGCTGGAACATGCTCGCATTTTAAGTAACTGCGTGTTAAGATTCACGTCTTCCCTCCCCTAGCCGCATCCTTCTTCCCCGCGGCGCAGGGCTCGCCGCTGCCGGGCTCTCTCCGGCTCGCTCTCCCGTTCCGCGGGGCAGGTGTGACACGGCTGCGGCAGCCGCGCTCCGTGCAGGGCGTGTGCCGGGGGCCGCCGGGCTGGGCGCTCACCCTGCTCCTCGGAGGCGCCCTTGGGAACATCGCCACGTTTCGGGGATAATGATCTACCGCCTCCACCCCCCGGGCCGGCGTCTGCCGTGACAAGGGTTATCGGGACGACTGCGGCTTGCTAGTACCTCCGCCGTTCCCGGGCAGAGCGACACTGACTTCCCGTGAAAACAAGACTGATCCGGTGCATGAATGCTCCCGGAGCCAGGCGCCCGGCTGCCGTCGGGGCTGTTCCCTTCCCGCCCGCGCACTGGGTGCGGAGCAGGGCTGCCGCAGAAGCCGCCCTGCTGGAGCCAGCGGGCCCGGGGCGCTGGGCATGGCAGACGTGACCAGCGGGCTCGGCTGTGGCGCCGGGGGGCTTTGCCGCGGGAGCTCGCCCTGTGCCCCCGAAAGTCCCACGCCGCTGCCGGCTGAGGGCACGTGGGCGGACAGCGGCTTCGCTGGCGTGGGGAGCAGGAGGAGGAGGAGGAGGAAGGGGTGGACGCGGCCCCAGGAGCGGTACTCACGGCGCCAGGAGGCTCGGGGGCAGCGCGGGGCTGCGGCGGCGCGGCTCCGTGGCACGCCGGGCATCTCCGGCGCTCCGGGGGGAGGCGGCGGGGCGGCGGCGGGGCCGGGGCGGGGGCCGGCGGCGGCTCAGCCCAGCGGCCCCGCAGCAGGGCGGCGAGCGGGCAGCGGGCGGGAGCCCCGCTCCCGGCCAGCAGCGCCGCCAAGCCCGCGGGACAGAAGCGGGACTCCGCGGCGTCTCGACGGGGCGCCGAGACGAAGTGCGGGCAAGGCCGGCGGGCAGGGAGCTGCGGCCGCAGGAAGGGGCTGGAGAACAGAGCTGACAGCGAGGCGAGGGACCTGGCAGGCCTCGGAGTCTGCGGCGAGCGGGGGAGGTGTGGGAGCGGAGGGACGGGGTGGGAAGAGAGAGAGAAAGAGAGAGAAACACAAAGTGAGCAACACCGAGGGGGCAGGCGGGGGCCCAGCACACAGTGCTAAGATGAGGGTTGAGTGCTCGCAGCCGTGAACCCACACCCTGCTGCCCTCGCATCCCCCCTTACCCCCGTGTACACTCAGTCTTTTTAACTTTCCTAAGCAGGTCCTTCAGGTGAGGGCCGGAGGACAGCTCTCCTACCCATCCTGTGCCCACTGGGATTCGGAGCTGGCCATAGTGACAGAGGAGCACGGGAACAAATTTGGCCACTTACAACCTACCCGCAAAGAGCACCTCCCAAAAATTCCCCACCCGAAAAGCCAACCGCAGACGACGGACAGAGCCACGGCGGCGGCGGGCGGAATGGAGCCAATGCCGCCGGAACTGTCCAGGGTGCTGAACCGGCCCCGCCGCCTCCGCCGCGGCCGGGGAGCTCGGCGGGCCTGCTCGGATCTGCGGGCGTCAAGGTAAAGTGACCTTGCCCTTCCTCGCTGAGTGCCATTGTCCTGCAGAGAAGAAGCCACCTTTATGGAGCACGGGCCCTGAGCAGGAACGGGCAAAACCACTCCTCTGCTTCCCTTTTCTCTAGCAATGATTTCTACCTGTTTTTTGGGAGGTTTCATTATTTCATCAAGGTTTAGCTCGTCCCAAAACATTGTCCCTATTTCTGGTCTACAACCAGACATCAAAGAGACAGAGAGGAACTGAAGTCTACATAGTGTGAAGAAAGCCCTTCCCACAGTGACAGTGCTGCCCTTGACGGCCAAAGGCACTGCTACAGCCATGGGAGAACATGACTGTGGTGCCATCGATGCCAGGGAAGGTGCTGTTAGAGCTGAAACCACAGGGAAAGCTGCCATTCCTACACAGAAGGAGAGCTTACTGTTGCTTAGCAGCAGAGAGTTCCCCTAGGTCTGTTTGGAGAGGTGAACTACAGCAGAAACTGGACAATGTTCCCAGGAGAGCAGAAAAAATAAAAAGGTTGATTCCTACCCCGGAACCCCACTCAGTATTCCTCCTGCCCAGTGGCAAGGAACCTTTCTGCAAATCTCTGCCATTTTGGTTGTGGCAGAAAGCATAGAACTGATGCTGAATCTATGCCAAACTCCAATTGCCAAGGACCAGACAGAACCTATGGAGGTATTATAGGTTGACAAGTAGGATTAAATGACACTGCCTCATTCCTTGGCAGAGAAAAGGGAACAAAGACTCACTAAGTGCACTGAGGTGGTTGTTTATGTGGCTTGAGAACAAGCTCAAAACGCCTGTTAACACCATCGGCTTTCGAATTCAGCTCTTGGTCACTCTACCAGGTCAGGCAGTCATTTCTCAGACTGGTGAGTAAATGTGACTCCTCTAAGACTTCGCTAGACGATGGCCCTGGGTGGCATCCTAAATCTTAGCAGGAACGCTTGATCAAGTTCAGGTTTAAAATGCTGGCAGAATGTAACCCCTTTGGAAGGTATGTTCTTGTTCCATCATCTTTTCCATTGGTCTTAGGACGGTCATGACTGTTGTTCCTGCCGATAGCAGAGGGTTTGGAATGAGGTGATCTTTAGGGTCCCTTCCAACCCAAACCAGCTAACGCCTTATTAAAGAACGCTATAATTTTTTTCAAAATTCATGACACATAGTGATGGTAGGTAGTACTGTATAAAACTATTGTATTTATGCTCCCTAGCATAAATGATGTTAGATAAACAAAGCCACCTAAGCTAACTATCTTCCAGTGATTAGGGTTTGTAGGCAACTCGGTCTGTAGGCAGGTACCTCTGCATCACTGCATGTGTACACATCCACATCCTGAAACAGCTGAATGGTGTGGAGGCATAAAGTCCTCACAAAATTGTTAATATAATAATCTTCTTCTCTCCCAGAGAATGATGGATGCAAGCTGATATTCAGCTGCATAAGACAGAACTGCATAAACAAGGGCTTGGACTTGGATGAAATGGGGTTTAGAGTTGACAGAGCTGAGAGACACAGACTGGAACCCTTTCTCTCTCTCTAAAGGAATGTGAGCATGCATTTCTCATGCATGAAAGAAAATTCCCTCAGTCATCAGAGCAGCATGCTCTGCATGTGCCTCTGTGACCTTACTTTTGGTCCCCTCTATTGCTCTACTTTGTTCAGATTAATTCAACTTCACTAGGAGAGAGGGAAAGCAAAATGTCAACCTAGCAAGGCTCGGGAGTATTTGACCTTGAACTAATTTCTGTTTCAAAAACGAAAATATGGAAAATGGAGACCTTACATGTTAGCTGTGCATTTAATATAATTATCCTCTATAGCGGCATGTTTTTTTCTGTAATATACATGGTAAGTAATAGATCAGGAGATCTGGTTTCAATATTGGTATTATCTACCAGTATATCAGGCATTAGAAAACCCACCTCCACCCTTTACTTGACTTTTCTGAATATTTCACATTAGACTCATAAGCTCTTGATAAACTTTTAGGAGGAAATTCTATCCAGCAAGCAGTAGATTTTTAAATTCTAAATCAGAAAGGGATGGCTTTATAAGAGGGTACCTTTGCTATTTAATATTGTCCTTTTGGATGTTTCTTAGACTCCACCCTCCTCCTTCTGCAAACTTGTCCAGTTAGCATGTTTTCCTAATTTTGCCTTTGGGGAAATGAAGAAATATGTTATTGTTCTATTTTATTTTATTTTATTTTATTTTATTTTATTTTATTTTATTTTATTTTATTTTATTTTATTTTATTTTATTTTATTTTATTTTATTTTTTAAATGAAAACTTGTATGACACCTTTTTGATTTGTTCTCACTGTTCAGGGGAGGTGATAAGAAAGATAATACGGAACATGTATCTGTATTTTAATAACATTGTATTCCAACATTCTTGCAGTCACATGTTAATGGGTGACATAATGCACATATCAGCTTTTTGGGGGGCCTGTGTGCCTTTAAGGTGTGAGGGCTGATTGCTGGTCTCATACCTGAACCTGCTCCCTGCCCAAGGAGAGGTCACACACATTTCTATGTCAGCTTTTGTGTTCTAGTCTATTTCAGTGTTTCCTGCCCCCTTAAATTGTTAAAAAGAGAGTTTCTAGACCATTGAATGGAGCTGATTCATAGTGAATTAGGGAGCAATTCAAACAGAGAGTAAGAAGCCATTTTTTACCTTTTCATTGACATTAAAGTGCACTTGTTACAAATCATTTTGAAGACTGATAGGCTTTTCTGGGAAAGGAGATATTTTCAGAAGGAGAATGAGTTTCCAGGGACTTCTGCTAAACTTATTTGCTTTCCCTTACCCCTTAATAAAAACTAAAAATGTAAAAAGAAAAATAAAATAAAAGATGCATTTAAATAGCCATATTTTAAAGTAAACATAATACCAGTGATATTAGGAGAAGCAGCTTTGCTGAACTTTTAAATATTTGTGTTTTTTCAACATTAATTTCTTATAGGCGTAAGCCACTTTTCTTTATGGATCTATCAGTAGTTGGTTTCAAGCAGGAAATATAGGTTCAAAGTTGATGGGAGGAAGAATAAACTGGCATCTTCAAATATGTAAGACCAACCATAGAGTAGTATGGTCCCACAGAGCAGTAACTAAATTGTCCTACTTGCAGGGATGCCTGTTAGGATCAATTTTTCATCAACATTGATAGTGGTGTGTTAACTAATCAGTAGAATTTATTTTGTGCAAGCCAAAGTGTGAAAGTCCCACTGTCATGTCTGTGCAGTCACAGAGTGTCTCTTAGCTCTTTTCTGGAGGATTAGATTTCCTCAAGATCTGATGCTAAAACCTGTGATTGCATTACATTAGGGCTTGAAATGTTATCAGCATGGTTAGACATGATTCAGGTCTCAGTGCAGGCAGAATTTTTTTGCAGTTGGTGGCTCTGCTTAGTGCTTTGATAATTATTTCATCACTGTAAGGTCATTTTCTAGGGTGATGTATTTTCTCAGGGTTGTCCAGTCCCATATGTATGTTCTGACAAAACCCTTAGCTTCAGTATTTATATAATTCAGTGTCTGCTCCAAAGCTGCAGGAAGCCTCTGCTGTCTCCACTCACAACTCTGTTTCTTTTCTACTCCTACATATCACATCTTTATTACTTCTAAGGCAGAGGAAACTTAAAGAGAAATAACATTTGAGACATAATTCAATATTAGAGCTAAGGATATGTTCTCCAGTGATACTGATTTGGCACTGAATGCCTGCTTTCAGAGCATCAGAGTCAGCTTAGTGATGGTTATATCCCCATTCTGGTCCAATCCAGGTGATGGGTGTGGGCTCCGTGGGGTTTGTGAGCCCTTGGACAGCCCTTGGCCTGCTCTGTGGTCCAACTCATGCTTCAAATCCTTGGTGATGCAGAATTTCTGCCATATTTACAGACTACACAGGAATGTGGTGGCTTGGGCAGAGAATGTCTAATTAGAAACTGCAATGTGACACACACAAAAATGAAATCTTTTCTAGAGTGCAAATGCATTAAGCAACTCTGTCATTCATTGAATTTGTCACATTAATTTGGCAAATTGAATCTTCACAATATTCTCTGATGCTCTCACTTGATGTATGACATTAAATAATTAAAAATATAATGCCAACTACATTTTGTTGTAAACCATGAGGTTAGCATACATATCTAATTCTTATTCTCTATTTTTTTCCCCATAAACCTTTGAATTATTTGGAATAACTGAAAAGCCTTACAGATCAGGCTTGATTTAAAAAGAAAAATCTCTTCCATCACGACCATGTACTGTTAGTGTATGTGCCAGTGACATGATAGGCCCTGTGGGGAAGTCTCTGGTCAAAATGTTGATCAGAAAGAGATTTGCTTCTGCATGCAAAAATTGTGAGTTTCCGGATGATGGAGGAATTGGCTCAGGGATGCTCATTACAAGCTTCCAGAAGGTGTCACTGTGCACCTACAATTTGAATGGGAAACTTCAACATTTAAGGATTAGTGCCAAAACACTATTCCTCCTTGTGCTATTAGGGCTCCTCTTCTCTGCGCATATGGAAATTAAATGATCGATTGGAGAACAATATTTCTCTTTTTTCATGATAGAAAAAGTAAAAATATCTCTATAGTATCACTGTCAGTCAAGAGGTACCTATCCACCCATGACCTGCAGAAGTATCTCTGATATTCTGGGTCACACATAACCTAATTATTACACATGATTCTTACTTGCAAGGTAATAAATATAGTTAAATTAAAGAAGAAATCAAAGCTTTCAAAAATTGCAAATGCAATTTTTAGGTCTTATAGAGCAGTTTGTAGCTACGTTCCAGAGCTGATTCAGATAGGAAGATTAACAGGGCAATTTGCAACCAGTGTCTCTGAACAGATCAAGGCTTCAGAGTCTTTGAGTAGTTCAAAGTGAGTCTGAAAGCTTGGTGGCACAAGGTGGCTGCACAGTAACATTCCAGCTTGACAAGATTTCTAAGGAAGACACTGTGATTTTTGCCATTAATTTTCATCAGGTTTTGGACTTTATAAAATATGGATCAATTGGAAAATTATGCAGCCATGTTAAAAGATTGATGGGAGAAAATATAATGCACTTGTAGGACTGGTGGTGGAGAGGATAAAAGGAGAAATACACTATAATTCCTTTGAAAAAGAAGAACAAAAGAATAAAGAACAGGCAATGAAAGACTGCTGAAGAGTGAGGTTAATGGTCAGTATCAATGAGAATGTTGCAGGATGGTGCTGCATGAAAGCAAAACTCTGTATTTGACTCACTGCAAACTAGATTGAGCTGGTGACCAGGAGTATTTATCTAGCATAATAAAAAGACATATGAATGAAAATGAGAGGAAAAGGAACTAATTTGATAAGAATAATAGTGAGAAGAAGCTGTGAACATATTTTGAGAAAGGAAAGACTTCAAGTGTTATCTATCCCAGTGTACTGCTTTATCAGTGGTACCAAACTAATACGCTCTTAAAGAGGTCAGGTTATCCCTATTATGTAGAAGTGAGTATGCCTGTGGAAAGGCATAGAAAGCACTGGAGTTTCCTTGAACAATCTCTCACTAACATTTATTTCAGAGATGCCTTATGTGATTTTGCCCCTACAGGAATATCTGCCTAGATTAGAGAGACTGTAATTCTAGACAGCCCAAGTCACTGGCTGATGGTTGTGCTTGCCTTAGGCTTGAAGCAGCATAACAAATGCTATCAGTTTCCAGGTCTCCCTCAACAGCACAGATACTGAGTTACAAGTTAAAGACAGAGGATCTCAAGTAGACAAAGACAAAGAAAACAAAGAAATAAAGAAACAAACAAAAAACTCGAAAAAACCACAACCACAACAAATGAGCCAATAAAAACAACAAAAAACCTACTGAGAGTTACTGAGCTTTTGAGGGAGGCATTTCATGTGTTCCTGTGAAACCAGATTTCTCCTGTTTGATGTACAGAGAGAGAGACTGACCCACCATTCTGCAGGATGGGCTTTTCCTCTGGCCACCCCAGGGCTGTCTATTATGTTTCCCTGCACTGCACTTTGCTCTGGATCCTAGAATTGTCCTGAGAGAGGGAGAACAGCACTCCAGATGGATAGAATTTTGCACATTCCTATTTTTGTATCCCATCTTTGTGCCTCACTGTTCAAATCAACTCACTGACAAGGTTACACTTGAGGCTTGTTTCCCTCTGCTACACTACTGTTTTGAAAGATCATGTTCTCCTCCTGGGCAGAAAAAAATGTTTCTTCCCACCTCCTTTCTGCAGTTAATTTCAAACATACCTCCTGACCAAACAAAGGAAATAGAAAGTGGGACTGAAATTGTCCTGGCTACAATAGCCTAACCTCTTCCTGTGTTCTGTTAACACCTATAACTTATTTCTCCTGATGATTTGGAAATATTGGTAAGAACCTGTTTAAAGTTTAAACCCAGAGGGATAAATGAGAAAGCATAGTTTTTTTGTGAGTCTGAATCAATTTTATAACCAGAGCATGCCAGGTAAATCATTCAGTAAGACACTATTCTTGAACTGAAATGAAGCACATGCATTTACCTGCACAGAATCTGTATGAACAGAATAAATGCAGTGCAATAAGAAAGACTAGTCTGTCATCAAAATCAGAATCAAACACTTCAGTGAACATTAGGTTATGCTAGCTGGAAGAAATGTCCTTGGCTTTTAAGGGCTGTGACTCACTTTGTCAGTCTTATGACTGAAAAACTATTCCATGCTGAACCATTCAGAAGATCTGGATAAAATCTGAGAAATATCCTTTAACCCTCTTATTGAG